GGTCAAAGCTCCCTCTGTTGATGTTGTTGAGCTTCATGTGACCCTTATCTCAGCGCCTGTTGTTGTGTTGTTCTGTCTGAAATGAGAGGTTGACTAGGAACCACCCACTGCTGCCCAGCAACATCTAAGCGCCATGCTTAGTTCTGCCCCAGTTCCCCCTATACATTATGGGTGGGGGTGGGGGTTCTTAAACCAGACAGTCCTAACATCATGTAGCAGTATGAGTGTTTTTGAACATGTCCATGGATAATGTATGAGCTTTTACGCCGAGCTTTTACGCCGAGCTGGAGACCCCATCAGAGAGGGTGGAGGATGTTAAAGCTGGAGGGAGGGCTGCCCACTGGGGGCGTGTTTTTCTTTTTTTATGGCACTCCATCATGAGCACTGAGACCATCGACATATAACAGATGGATGTTGTGTCTGCGCTTCCTGCCTATGTACAAAAATGAAGCTGAAATATTCTGGAAAAAGGATGCCAGAGTCTGCGCAGTAGTGATCGGGGTTGGAGCTGCGGTATTACGGTCCCACCAATACACCCAGTCAATTAAATCCCAAGCAGGGCGTGATAAGAGCTACCTAAAATGACAGAAACCAATTTTGGGAAAAATGTATTAACATAAAGGAAGCAGGCTTTATGATCTATACTGCAGTCAGCCACCAGGGGTTGATCAAGATTTTTTGGCTTCACTTGGGGAGCTGTCATGCTGTTCATCTTCTATATGCCAATGTTTTTTGGGGTTTTTTGGTATCGAAATTAGGGCTGCAACTAACAGTTTCATTATCAATTAATCTGTCGATCATTTCCTCGATTAATCGATTTCTTGTTTGGTTCAGAAAATGGTGGGAAATGTTAATCAGTGTTTCACAAAGGCCAATGTGACGTCCTCAGATGTCTTTGGTTTTTCCACAACCCAAAGATATTCTGTTTACTGTACACTGTTTACTTCTACATGGGGACTAAAAGTCAGGATATCTCAAGCCACTACTGCTTTGATTTAGACCATTTTCTTTCAGGTTCCCCAACTTAATGGAAATGCAGGAAATACTTGATTGCAAGAGTATCCCTTTAAATGATGTTTCTAACAGGCTGTGACATTAACTGAGCAAATTCATTGAACCCTTTCCATTTTAGACTCTCCAGAATCGTTCCTGCTAACACCACCTCCAAGCCAAATTGTCAACTTTATACACAAAATATAGTGAGAATAAAAATAAAATAGCCATGTAATGTGCTGAGCACATTCCTGCGTGATAAACCTTTTTGATTTTAATAAAGCCATCCCATTTCCTGTCACCCTCAGTAGAAACATAATATTTTAGCCACTGTTGCTGGTAAGGATCCCAGAATAGCATAATAGTTTGAATGTCACGACAAACACTTGAAAATTGTGAGTAAAGAATATTTTAAGATCAATGGTCAGCTAATGCTTTAGTCTCTTTGTCTATGTCATTATTAAGCAGCTTTGAAATATTTCTGTGCATTTGGAACCAAGACTTGACTAATATACAAAAAAGTGTCATATATATACATTCACAAGTTGTCAACAGAAATAAAAAGCAAAGTGACTTTTTTACATGAAATATGGGATTAAAGAATGATCCTCCTAATCCTCACTTCTAAATGATGATCATGCCCTCATTACGCCTCTACGATATAGTCACACAAAATTGTCCTTCAAATTGAGTCTGATGCGCTTTGTTCTGATGGATGAGATAGAGTTTGATAGATTTTTACTGCAGAGCGCTGCAATGTCAGTGGTTCTCAAACTTTTTTTTGGCTTGCAATGCCTTAAAACAAAGTGACTTCCACACTGTCAAGGCGTACATATGGTGAACAGCTCAACCAGAAAATGATTTTGCCTTTTCAGCTTGTTTGATTTGATTCATCATCACAGGAGGCCCAGAGGCTGAAAACTCTTTAATATTTCACAAGACAAAACAGACATGATGTGAATTTCTAAAGTAGAAGTTTATTTTTCTGTCTTATACATTAACCCATAGAGAGCTTAGGGCTCAGACTATGATCTAAAGTGTGTTGTATCTTGTGCTCAGGCTGCGACTAAGTCAACTAATTTCTTTGGCTGAATGGTGGTTAAATGTAAAGTAAAAAGTTAAATATTGCCTATAAAAACCAACATGTTCTCACTCCCAATTTGGCAAATACTTCCTCTTCGTCAGTTGCCCTTCACTTCAAAATATGACGTACCCCTCTAGTGTCATTTCGGGAGGCACAGGACAGGACTGCAGTCAAGTTAGTAAAAATGAGTATGCAGTGTCCGGTTATACTTTCAAAATAAAGCTGGTGTGGTCAACATTGTGAAACAGTCGCCGTTTGTTTAGGTTTATGCACAAAAAATACTTGTTTTGGGTCAGGAAAAGATTGTAAGTTACATAACATAACTTAAACACATGAATAAAACGTAACCTGACATAACTTAAGTGTATTATGTAAGTTAAACATACAATATGTGATTTCTGCCGTTAGGGGGTCTCTCACATCAAAACAGTAACAAAAGATGAAGTTTGATGAGGTGGTGAAGTAGTGTGGGAATATGGGAGTTGTTGTCTTTACCACCATTGCCGTCACTGCAGTCAGCTTCTCCAGTTAAGATTCCTTCAGTGTTGATGGTTCAGGAGGTTTCTACCGGGAGCCCCATTATCCACAGAGGTCTCCTCCTCTCCAACACAAACAGACCCGCTGATTAAAACTGCTAAGCCGAGCTGCTGCTAACGTTAGCTCAGCTTGTGACCACCACGTCCGTATGGGCTTTCTTGCTCTTTATTTGACAATAAAGCTGACTTTTTTAACTTTATACTACGTCACCTGACTTCAATGGCGAACACATCCAGAATGACACTAGAGGGATACAACATCATATTTCGAAGCGGAGGGCCACAGCAGTAATAATATTGAAAACACATGCATTCACACGTACACATTTAGGGAATCACAGCAGCTCTTATCGCTTTCCCACAGTCACCCGCTCTCGGTTTCCCTTTCTCTGTCTGTCTCTCTTCCTGTCTTGCAAGTGCTATTTCCATCCAGCCATCAAGCACATTTCAAATAAACTTTTTTAACACCACTAAAAATAAACTGTGAATAAGGTGTGTTTCTATCAGCTGAGGAGACGTGAATAAATTAGCATCCTGAATGTGAAAAAGCATTAAAGAGACAACTATGTGCTGGAGAGTATTGTACAATTGTACAATGTATGGATATTTGCATGTTTTTGTTTTAGATCTTAGTGCTGAGTTGGGTTGGATTATGATATCTGGTTCCATTTTGGATCTGGTTCCTGGTTGACTTAAGGCTGTTGAACCCCATAATATTATTGCATAAATGTAATTTATGATAGATATTTCATCAGTTCTATAATGAAATGGATGCATAGCTGCAACCCTATATACAGCTGTAATGCAGAAATCATAATGGAGACTTATGTGAGGCTGTTTCGGACAGACATTCTGAAGACTTTTCAGAATATGTAAGCTTGCCTTTGTAGTTTCTGCATGAAGAACGTATCAAAACATTTTGTATTACTGTGGAAATCTTATCCTCATTTCCATCCTCCCTTTTTCTGGTTTTGTACTCCATGACTTGTCAAAAGAAGTACTTGGACAGAAACCAAATGTGCAGCCTTCATCCATCTCTCTCTCCTCCAGCTGAGGTGAAAGAAGCCATTCTGGATGCACTGACTTGTTGGTAATGTGCCGACTGTGATGAGCTGACATTTGCCGTTGACAGCTTTGTTCTGCATGAGTGTGCTGTGTCTGCTCGAATCACACTGCGGACAAACTTGCGATGATTTCCGGCGAAATGCAGTCACAGTGCTGTGTACCTCCCCCTGGGCATCACAAAAGCTATTTCCTCTCCGAAGGTAGGCTATACTTGGCAAACAAATAAAGAAGAGAAAATTGCAGGGAGAGAAAACCTGCTGTTCATGCTGAAAGCCTGTCCCATTTCTGCCCGTTTATGGTTTTACTTCTGCAAATCCCGCTTCAGCTTTGGAATTTACACGCAGGCTAAACTCTCTTTGGCCAGCTCCATCGATCTTTCCCCTAATGCTCATCTAAAAGCAAGTCAGGTTTTACATGACTTTTTTTCTTCACTCTGCTACTCGAGCATCCTTTTTTTCTTCTTCTTCAACCTCTTAAAAGCCTTTTTATCCCTTACATTTTCCCTTAAGCAGCTTCGAAAGAAAGAAAATGCACTCTGAGAGCTTCACAGCCTATATATTCTGCATCTGCTTTTTAGGTGTGTTTTTTAAGGCTCAGATGGAAATATTCTAGATGTTTTGAGCATCATTTAGTGCACTTTTTTCCCAAAAAATGAGTCTGACATATTTGGTATTTGGGGAAATTGTTGGGGCTTGAAAAGACATTTCCATTGCAGGAATGGTGCATAATTGGTTGACTACTCCCTGTGGAGGGGTTCCAGGCACGTCTAACTAGGAGGAGACCCTCGAGCACACCCAGAACATGCTGGAGAGATTACATATCCCATCTGGCCTGGGAACACTTCAGGGTCACCCAGAAGGAAGAATTGTGGGACGTCTGGGCTACCTTGCTTAGCCTGCTGGGGCTGTTTTTCATGTTTGGGTGTGGTTTCCTAGTTCCAATGAAAATATTAATGTTCAATGTATAGAGAAGTCCAAGGCAAAATTCTTAAAGACATTTCAAGTCTCATTCGAAAGACTTCAGTTCTAACGGACTGGCAGGTAATGAAAGGTCCTTGTGGAGTTTTTGACAAAAAATCTAGCAGCACTGTGGAACTTGTTTTTGTGAGTGGGTCCCCATTTTGTTTGACTTGAGTGAAAGAATATGTAAACATGAACATACTGGTGGTTTCAGTAGGGATGTGAAACAACCTGTGAATAGGCTGCTGGGTGTATTCATCTAACCTTATCGCAATACAGCACACACCACTCACCGCACGTCACGCAGGTGATCGATGGGTTTTCCCACTCCGTCTGATGTGTGTCTCAATCTGTCTCCCTTAGTGAGCTTCGTGGACTGCAGCGAAGGGAAGGTGTGGCTTGAGGTCGGAGATTCTTCTGACTTCAGGGTGAGCGAGGATGGCGTGGTCTACACCCTGCGGCACCTCAGCCTTGCGGCAAAGGAAAAAGCCCTGCTGGTGGTCTATGCTCGAGACCTGCAGTCCAAACAGGTCTGGAAGACCAGAGTGCACATCCACGTCCGTCCAAACGGCAACAGCGCACAACCTCAACAGGTAACGCAGAAGCAATTGTATTCCCACTGGAACAGGTTGTTTTCAATCTTTAATGAATTACAAAAAAAAAAAAAACCTGAAGGGAGTGATTGGTCATTTAATTCAGTGGTACCCTACCTTTTGTAAAATGTAACCCTGTAGTACAGTCCAGTGAACTCAAGTGCCCCTTCATCAACATTACAAATTATGTTCCAAATCAGAGTTAATTAAATTAGTTATTTAACTAATTTTATTTCTTATTTCTTATCTAGTTATTTCTGCAACAGCAGAAGCACCTCCTAGGGTACAATCACTTTAACAGTTTGTGTTTCTTTACATTATTGAATACTTTGAACACAATGTAAAGATGTAACATTAAATTACTGATAAATTATTAAACAATATAATAGATTAATAAATAATAAAAATCATTTTTGGTTTCAGCCCTAATTTGCTCATTAATGCATTTGTTAGCTTGGATTATAGGGTCTGGTTAAGAATACGTGGTATAATATTCATGTTTTATCAGTTCCAAGGTCACAGTTATTCATCCACTATAAGAATGTAATCCTCACTGATTCAAAATGAATGTAGAGTGCACCCAGATCTGCTGTCTCTGAGCCATTAGATATATTTGAATAATAGTGAGTTCATTAATGCATACAGAACCTGACAGCAATAACACATACCTGGATCTCAGTCTGATGATGCCAGCATGTGTGAAGCCTTTCTGAGAGAGAACTGCAATTTTTGACAAGCAGAATCATTAAACAGTCATGATGGGCTGTTATTCCCCCCCCAAGCCTTCAGTAATGTTGGGTGAACTATGTACAGATATAAAATCAGCTTTTCCAGCCCAGCAGGCGTCTGAGGTTGGCCAAGTGCTGATTGCAGAGACAAAGCGAGTCAAACAGCCATCTGTTAGTGTGTTTCATGTACAACAGCGATAATAAGGCCCTCTGCATGTATTTAGACAAGACACTGGCCTTGATTGGCTGTTCTTCTAAACACAGCCGAGAATTAGCCGGCTGCCATATGCTTTAGCTGCTATCGGCGCCGCTTGCTGCAGTCGGTGAGGAGAATCACAGAGAGTGAAAGAAGCTGTCAACAATCCCTCATAAGGAGAACTGGTGAGGAGCAGCCATGGCAGTTAACAGCCAGTCATTTGCCAGGGGAGCAGTGTCAGCACTGTACCCTTTAGCGCAGAGGCAGGACCAGGGATGTTATCAAATGAAACTGAAGAGTGAGACAAACAGGCATCACATTTACAGCCCACCAAGCTCCAAATGTCAGTAAAATCAGTCTTTGGTTGACAGATCAGACTGGGTGACCTTACAACAACACCTTAGTTATATGAAGTATATGAGTCAGTGTCCTTTATGCTGGCCAGCTAATTTTTTGATATGCAAAATATACCTTTGACTGAACTAATATTCCCCTAAATTGTTCTGAGAGCTTTAATTTTCCACTGCATAAAGCTCAACTGCAGAGAGAAACAGGCTTTTGTTTAAATGAGGCATGTCACGATATAATTACAGCTACGATTCAATATATTGTGAAACTGTAAGCCGGGTGATATATTGCAATTTTTTAATTTTAAGAAAACTATTCTAGTATAAAGACACACACTACTGTATGTATGTATGTATGTATGTATGTATGTATGTATTTGAGAATTCATGCAATATCACAAAACTAAATACTGCAACACGATATTTTCTGTATTTTCATACACTCCTAGTTAGAAGCCTCCCTTTATCTGATCTGCTTCTGTTTTAATTTGCTGTTGAACTTATATGATTTATGGAGGACCATGTTTACATGCTGATTAAGTATAATGTATATAATTTTGACATAATTATAAAACAAGCGTCACATCATCCTTACCTCTTAGCTGCTCTGTTTCACCATTTAGCAGAGTTGGTTTCATTCAGTGAGTGGGGATGACTATACAGATCATTTAGTTGGTTAAACAGATACAGATAATGGTGTACTCGCTTATCCCTACTAATACAGATGCACTACATTCACTTTGAGCCTAGATAACACATATTCATATTTGGAAAAGTCATTAAAATAAGAATACAATAAGAATATTTATCACAAAAACTAGAAAGTCTTTGAATTCTGTTTACTCTTTGACTTTGCTTTCATGTAATGACTCAGAACTCTTGTTTATCCTCATTTTGTGTGTATTTTTACAATGTATTCTATAAAGTCTTTCAATGATGGACAATGTGAGATTTATTGTAAATAAATGCAGTATAATGGAATCCAAGACCTATAAATCCTGCTGAAAATACCCATCCCTACCTGCAAGGTCATGGGCTGAACCCCCCATGAGAAGCAGGTGAATTGTGGGTGGGCAGAATAAATTAGACGCTCTTCCTTTTCCTTATTATCTTCTGTGAAGCCTGCAGTGTAGCTGCTCACTGACCAGTCACGCAGATCTGCGGTCGCATAGGACACACCCACAGACACACACACACACACACACACACACACACACACACACACACACACAGTGACAGGTGGTGGTCATTTATCAGACGGACTATAATGAGAGCATTAATCCAAGCCTCTGGAATGAGGTCAGAAATACCCTGAGTCACCAAGCCTTCCCAGCAGGCTGTCTTTGCAACAGCCATGGGGTGTGTGTGTGTGTGTGTGTGTGTGGCGCGTGCGCGTGTGTGTAGCCCAATACACGATGCTTGTTTACTGTCTCTGCAGGTAAAGCCCAGTGATGCAACACTGACTCAGCGGGTACCAGAGATCTTGTTTCCATGGCACAGCGTGGTTGTCAGGGGTGATGGCACTCTGAGGCGGGTGAAGAGGGACTGGGTCATTCCGCCTATCAACGTCCCTGAGAACTCACGAGGACAGTTCCCTGAGGACCTAGTCAGAGTAAGACAAACACACACACACACACACACACACACACACACACACACACACACACACACAGTCTTACAGAAGCTGTGAGGACATAAGGAAATGAGCAAAACAACAGTGATATAGCACATTCATTCCAAAGGAAATAAAGTGTACTTCAGAAAAAAAGCAAAGAACATTAAAGGCACATACACATACAGTCCAATTAATTACAAGTGTAATTAAAATGATCAAATGCAATTTCAAAAAGGCAACCACAGCAGAATAAAGCTAATCAAATGCACAGGAAATAAGGGAATGATATTAGTCTGCTTCCAAATGTTAACAGCGAGCCAGACCTAATACAATCTGACAGAGTATCTAGCAGCTGGGAGCCTAAAAAACTAAAAGCAGCTTCACCAACTTTGCATTTAACCCTTGCAACACCCGAAAGGCCTGCACCAGATGACCTCAGGTCTGACGAGCCTGTCAGAGATACGCTGTGCAGCCAGGCGATGCAGGGTGTTTCAGACAAGAAATCAAATTTAAGCATGAATTCTAGAATTAACTGGAGACTTGCAGACTTCTGAGTGTGGTGTAACATGATGAAATCTTTTTTCTTAAAACTGACAACATTGTGAATGAACTGTAGTCAGCCCACAGTCTTTGTAGGTAGAACAGAAGAAGGGCATTGCAATACACAACTGTATATAAAAAAATTTACTAGTTTGCATCCAGCTGTGACAAGAACCCCTTCTTTTAAAACATTAAAAGCAGTTTTATTTTGCTGACATGGCCTGGAAAGTAAGATCACCTTTAGCAATGACACCTAGGTTTCCAACTGTCTTTACAGGCACCTTGAACAACAGGGGTTTCTGTTTTGTCAGTGTTCAGTTGCGGTAAAACCAATTATTTATGTCTTTAAGGCAGGGACAGGAATGTTTAACTGCACAATTGTGCAACATAAACAAACTGAACAGCAGCAGACCAAGAACTGAGCCGTGAGGGACGCCACATTTAATGTTTAACTCTCTGGACATAAAGTTCTTATGCAAGTGATGTAGAAATATGTTGTCTACTTTAGTAGGATGTAACCCAAGCAAGTATTGACCCGGACAAGCCTACACCCACTTCTCAGGCTTTTCAACTACTAAGCTCTGTCATAGCCACTGAACCCCTTGCTTTCTGCGTTTTATCATGCATCCAGCTTGCTATGTAGCTGTGACTGCTACATTACACACAAATTAACTACGTGATGCTTGATGATTCAATTTCGTTCTTGACGTGGTGAGCAGGTAACAAAATAATCAGCTCAGCTAAAATGTTTTGTCAACTAGTTTTTGGAGCTTTTAACTGCAACTCACGGTGTTTAATCAGCGGATGTAGCTGGCTCAGGTATCATCAGCTAGGCCTAGCTGCTATGCCTAACTCTCAATTTAGATTGATTCCTTTAATTTCAGTGTAAGCTTGTTTTGTTCTAAAGAAAACAGCTATTGGTTAACTAAAGTGGTTCTCAAACTTTTTCTGTCATGCACCCCTTCAGAAGTCGAAAAAGGTCACATCCCACCAACCCGCAATTTTTAGCAATCATTAATAATGAAAGAGGAACCAAAACCAAAGCAAACTTGTGTTTCCCCTGCATAAATCATATTAATTCAACTTTGTTCTACTCTATATTTTTCACCTTGTCATCCACGTCCCATCTGTAGTGGCTCTGACTTAGGCTAATTGTTGTACTTTGGGAGCCTTTGTTCCTGTAGCACGACATGCCAATTTTAGCTTCAGGAAAAGACTACTGGTTGTGCTAACTAGGATGTGCAGCCTTGAAAGCAATGTGTCACTCACATCCTGTCATCCTGAATACATGTCATTAAATCAGCACTTGATCTACTAATGTGTTGTGTAGATCATTTGTGAACGTTTAGTGCTTCTGTTAGCATTAGTACAGGAGTATTATGAATGGTACTTCCATTCTTTCCCACCAAGCCCCACTCAACCTGCACAGAACACTCAATTACACAGTTGCACTTAAACCTGAAATTATCGTTTTAGTTAAAAAATGTATTTGATTTGAATTTGCAGCTCCATATCTCCATAATTCATCCTGCCTTTTTTTGTGTTATGTAAACATGGTTGTGTACATGTCGAGAACTGTCTTTGCTGTGCTGCCTTTCTCTCCTTTGTTTTAATCATATGGACAGCACGCAGGATATTAATGGAGCACCAGGCATCACAGTTTATTTGACTTGAGCTCAAATCTGATTTTCTGTAGTTATGTAGCAGCAGCCTCAAGCATTTGCTGAGTGTTGCCTGTGCAAGCCTAAAGTTATACTGACATGCAAGACACATCCAGGTCAAACTCCGAAAGTTTAGCTTCACTTGAATATTATTATATTTTTACCTTTTAAACAGGCTTACTTGGGAGAAATATCTCCCAAAATAAACTGACAGCAGCAGATGCCACAAACAAGTGAAAATGTTTTTATTTTGTGCGGGCACTTTTACATAGGATATGCTTTTATCCATTTACACTATTATTTACTACATTGTTCCAGCTCCATCTTTTCCTGTGTATAGTAAATTAACTGTAAATAAGTTTCCGCCATTCCCTTTCCTTCTCTTCCCCTGTCTGCCTGTGCTTCAGATCCGCTCAGACCGGGATAAGAACCGGATGCTTCGTTACAGTGTGACGGGCCCTGGGGCCGACCAGCCTCCGACCGGCATCTTCATAATCAACCCAATCTCAGGCCAGCTGTCCGTCACCAAGCCTCTGGACAGAGAGCACATCTCCAACTTCCATGTAAGACTCTCCACACGTCAGTCCAGGTCACTGTACATTTTGGATTCTGGTTGTCTTTTCAGTTCTTACTATTTGCACATCTCACTTTTAGTGCATATTAAACCCAAAACACTATGTTGTGTGTGCTAAAATTCCAAATTGTGCCAAGCACATATATACAAAGAAATCATATTGGAAGGTTATAGGATAAAATTTGGTCCTAAAATTGGGTCTAAAAATGAAATGAGCTGAGCTGCAATAGTAAAAGTGTGGTTACAGCTTAGTTTCACAGAGTGACCAATGGACTCTTGTTAGAAAAAACACCTTGGAGATCAGCAACAGCACAAAACCTGGATGACACACTGTTCCACACTGTAGTTTATTCTCTTCAAGAAAGTTTAGCATAAAGACTGGAAACTGGGGGAAACCAGTCTGCCACTCTGGCTTTGTCCAAAGACCAAAAATACCCCCAGTGGTTCGGACCAATTCATGTCCTATGAGGAACTACTGGCAGCTACAGTATGAGCTATGGGCGTGGTTTAATGCTAGGCGTATGTGTTTTTATTTTCATCTTTGCCATCACTCTGCTGGATATATTCTCTCTCATGCACAGAGATGAAGAAGAAATTCTTTTAAAAAAAAAGACTCTTGGTGTTTGCGCACTATATCTAATATAGTCGCATACACCTCTGAGAGCAGAGTCTAACCTTTTGATCTGTAGGAATGCACACACACAGCTTACACAGGGGAGTGGAAATCTGGAGTCGCAGCAGGGTGATTTGCATTTAAGCCGCCTGATGAATATTCATGTGATTGGATGTAGTTGTCAGAGCTGGGAGGTGGGATTGGCCAGCATGTTTATTCATGAGGGAGGCTTTGGCTCTTTGAGAGCCTCATACAGATGCTTCATTTGCTGTAAAGGAATGGCTTATCGAGGGTCCAAGGCCAATCAATAGTTATATTCAGCATTTTTAACCATTTTATGCTAAATACATAAATCGTACAGGCCTGCTGTTTAAATTAGGGACATCACAGTCTGTTAAAGTTACATTATGTTCACTGAAGTTCTATAAAAGCTGGATATGCTTTGTTCTTATACATGTTTTCATTGCATTGTAAAGATTGCTCTTTTGCTCTTTTTCTGTAGTTTTCATGATTTTGATATTCCATCTATGAGCTGATTGTAAAGGCTAATGATCACAATATTTTCCATCAAGCTTCCATACTCAAACCTGCAGGCTCTACTACAAAACACATCCCGAGCACCTGGCTGCAAACAAGTATAACTTGACAAAGAATGGGGAGCACTTAAGAAGAGGGATGGGAATTGATGAGATTGATACCAATGCCATTGTCAATTCTAAAAATCTGTTCAATTCTTAATCGATTCCGTCATTGATTCTTTATATCGGACCTGAATATCGTGTAGAATTGAGTAGAAAGCGGACTGCAGCCTGAGAGCTAACTGTAGCATTAAGAAATTAAAGAATATTTGTACAGCATTCGGTTTCCTTTAGGTTTTCTTATCCCCCAAAAAATCTGCTACACCTACTAGTGTCCAGCAGCATAGATGCATGATTTTGACTTTGAATTGCAATACACAACTGAAGAAAAACATCCCGGCACTGATAAAGCGATTGATGAGCTCGGAGCCGTACAATTCCTTGGGATCAGACAATTTCTCAACTGGATCTGGTTCTCGATTCCCACCCCTATTTAGAATGAAGTGTATCTGCTAGAGGTGTGAATCTTCTGGCTTCACAATTTGATTCTCCTGTCAACAATTCAAATGTACAATGATACTAGATCTCAACATATCACATTCTCAAAGTTGTCAGATTAATCTGAACTTCCTATTTATTTAGAAAGATCTTTCAAAAATCAGACTACAATAATTATTTATTTATATTTATTATATTGTTGTTATTGTTGTATATGTTATTGGTACAAATCCATTGTGAAGGAGTCCAGGAATCACATCTAATGGCTACTCGACTGCTCTTTGGTTTTGCTGTGGAGTATAGTTTCTGCGTTGTAATTTCACAACACAACTTTACAACTCGCAACCCTTAGTAGGTTCCAATGTTCTGTAGGCTGCAAACTCCAGATTATGTTCTGTCACTCTATCGATGCAGAATCTTCCACATCTGTATCACGATGCATCGTAGAATCGAGATATTTCCACGCCTATTTATATATATATATATATATATATATATAGTATATAGCTCTGAAGAAGGAACACTGATGATCAAACATCAGCTCAAGAAATAAACTTTATGCTGCAAATCTGTAATTCTAACACACTCTTTCTTCCTATGCTATAGTTGCAGCTAAATATTGATAACAACATCCTTTAACCAATAATTTCTACGATCCACAAATATTTGTTAGTTAAATCTTCTTAATGAAGACTTTATCTTCAAACCAAATCAAATCCTCTCAAATTCGGGATGGTCTGATGTACATCTATTGTGAGGGTATTTTATATCAAAATGTTTTGGATCTTTTCTATGTTAAACAAGTAATAACAAAACAGACTTGTGTGGGTGATTAAGAAATACTAAATTAGTACTCTACATTTGTGTCAATAGTGGCCTTACCTCAGCCATTTAACCTAATGGTGTGTGTGTGTGTGTGTGTGTGTGTGTGTGTGTGTGTGTGTGTGTGTGTGTGTGTGTGTGTGCGTGTGCGTGTGCGTGTGCGTGTGCGTGTGCGTGTGCGTGTGCAGTTACGAGCCCATGCTGTGGACCTGAATGGGAATCAGGTGGAGAACCCCATCGACATCGTCATCAATGTCATCGACCAGAACGACAACAGACCAGAGTTCACGCACACCATCTTTAACGGCTCTGTGCCGGAGGGATCCAAGCCTGGTACCAGCACACACACACACACACACAATTAAAACTTATGAATTTAATCCTTCTTCACTGACATATCCATGCTGACTTGCTGTGTGTTTTCCTGCAGGATCCTTTGTGATGACAGTGACAGCAGTCGACAAGGATGATCCAAAAACTGCCAATGGGATGCTTCGATACAAGATCCTCTCCCAGAATCCCCAGAGCCCCTCCTCCAACATGTTCACCATTAACAACAAGACTGGTGACATCATCACCGTGGCAGCAGGCCTCGATCGGGAGGTGTGTGTGGACATTTTGTGAGGCTCGCCCATAAACCCATAAGGAGCAGCTGCTCCTCAGCCTGTGTGTGTGTGTGTGTGTGTGTGTGTGTGTGTGTGTGTGTGTGTGTGTGTGTGTGTGTGTGTGTGTGTGTGTGTGTGTGTGTGTGTGTGTGTGTGTCCAGCCTGCAGTGTTTCCTGCAGTTTGTTGCTTTTTTCTAATCAGATATCAGGTCATCCTACAGATTGCGTCTTCATCTGTGGATGGATTTTGCTCAGTTGTCATCATGTGACCTAAATATGAGACTACTTATTATATAAACAGCCACAGTAGCTAGAGTTCAGACCATTTTGTCAACTGTTTCCAAGGTCAGAAATGACCTTTCATGCTGAGCTTTGTTGTAATTTGTATAGTTTTGGCCATCATTTCAATCAGTCATGGTAACATATGACCACACCTCCACACAACCACACAAGGAGCCACATTGGCAGATTTTCTGTGAATGCACCCGAAGGGCACACTCTCGGTCAGACAGACACACAGACCTGCATCTCTTTATACATTCATAGTGCAGACAGGTAGCAGAGGAGAGGGATAGAGACAGCAATGTAAGCTGGTCGCCCAAAGGTTGATGTCCAGAAACGTCCCGATTGCAGCAAAATATTGAGAAAAAAAAGAAATACAAGCAGAGGACAGGGTCTCTGCAGGTACCACACACTTCCAGTGGGTCATATCTGATGATTCCATACATTGTTTTATAGGAAAATCCAACTCAGTATGCCTTTAAACTGTAATATTGACAATGACTTGTTGTAATTAAGTTCTAACAAATTAAAACTTAGTCATTTTGGAAAAGTAAGCATTACATTTGAGACACTCTGAATGAATGTTAAAGTCTACTTTTACAGGTAGAGCTTTGCAATGGAAATTATATTTTCCTTTTTACAGTTATTAAAAAGGTAATTACATTTGAGCAGGAGGTGTGCAGAACCCTCGTTAAATCTAGCAGTCATTAGCTCTCTGAACACTATTGTTAAGAAGCACTGATGGAGTCATCAGCTGTAATGGTGCTTTGACACAAAGTCATTACACCTTTGTCAAATGCTTTTAATTAGATTTATATCTATGATCTGCGTAGCAATATTTGAACTGTGGCTCATTTAATATATGTTTTACATCTGTCCAAAAAGAATGGGTTGTGGGTCCACGGTATATGTGAACTAAAGCATCTAAAGAAGTCTACAGAATAATTTGAGGTCTTATCTTTCCAGTGGTTGACCCTCTATGTTCTCTGTGTGTTTCCAGAAAGTCACACAGTACACCTTGATCATCCAGGCTACAGACATGGAGGGAAACCCCACCTACGGCCTGTCCAATACAGCCACCACTGTCATCAGGATCACCGATGTTAACGACAATCCCCCTGAATTCACCACGGACACAGTAGGTCCACACGCACTCACACACAATGTAATGGCTCTAAAACAGCAAACGGCTTCTTCTAAACGGCACTGAGGCTCTGCAAGTTTTTATTGGTGGTGGCAGATGGCGGAGGACTGAAAAGCCAATGAAACGTCCAATACGTTTATCTTCCTCGTTGAAGCCAGGCAGGTTAGACGGGAAGGAGCCGTGTTTGTGGGGAAATGTGGTTTTATTCTGGGACACAGAAGCTTTGGTGTGAGACAGAAGCAATCATCTCCACTTCGGTCTCAGTTGTTTAGTCATTTTACCAATCTATAGACAGCTAGAAAAACAAAAACAATAGTGGGGGAGTTTTAAATAAAACTTAATGTAAAAAGTGACAAAATGCTTTGTTGCTGTTTGCAATATTCACTTCTGATAGCTGGAGAACCTCAATACTAAGCCAGTTAGCATTGTTCATAGAGTGCTGCAGAACCTAAAAACTGGAACTGAGTTAGCATTTTAGCCCCTCTGGTTCCCTCTCCTCTTGAAGATTTTTATGTGATTTTAAAAAAAGGCGGTAGCTAACAAGTGGCTTAATGAGACTGCAGTGGTCGTCTACTCTCTAGTCCGCCTTTACAGCCTTGTTGTGTTTATACTCGCTCTCTTGCAAACTATTGTAAAGTAAATTTAACAACTTGGAGATTTTTATTAATTACAAGTTGGAAGCCAGGGTATTACAGTTAACGGAAACTAAATAAAAAACAAAAAAAACATTTTGGTTAATATAAAAATGATTTATTTATTTATAGTTTATTTGATAGGGACAGATACAATAAACATAGACAGACTGAAAGATATGATAGTGTTTTATAGCGGATGCTAATTCGCAACACCTGTCCCTAGAAGGGCTTTTATGAAAATAACAGGTTAAAACAGGAAGCAACAGAATAAAACCCATAAAACACAGAATTAAAGCTAAAGTCACATTTCAAAACTATACAAGAGTGCAGGTTTGTACATAAAAACTAGAAAAAAAAAACACTGAAAACTTACAAACTTACAAAACGAACTAAAATTAAATAAAAATATACAGAAAAGGTCTTGACTTTTGGTCAAGTCTGCCAACACAATAAGCATGAGGAGGTGTTGGTGCATTATCATGCCAACCTGACTGTGAGTCAGTGTGTTTGTATTGTAAAACCTATTCTGAACACTAATACTGAAACTAATGAAAAGGAAACGAAAACTAAACATTTTAAAACATTAAAAACTAAACTGAAATGAGCAACCCCACTCTGGAAACTACCTAAAACTAGACTGAATTTAAAATCAAAATCAAAATAAGTTTAGCTTTTAGTAGAGCTTATTTTCTGCAATAATTCAAAATCCACTGGATAAATCCCATTGGCTTTTTGTCGAAGGAATAAAGGGTGATGCTAACTTCTGGGCTGGCCTATAAAATAAAACCATCATCCCTGCAGTACTCTACAGTCACTGCCATGGTAACATACAACAGTTTCATCCACTCAGGAGGATTCAAAACATCTTTTTTAAACAGCTACTAAGGCTTACCATCTACTGGTAGGAACTGCATTTCATTTATTCAGTCTGACCAGAAGCAGGAAATACACTTATCCCCATGTATAAAAAATGAATGACCACAGGGGGAGATATCAAAAGCAAATCACCACCATCCCCCTCGGGCAGCTCTCACCCAGCATATTGGTGTCAGAAATTCTGCAGAGCGTTAACAAATGTGTCTTTTTGTCCGTGTCTGTCAGTTCTTCGGGGAGGTTCATGAGAACAGAGTGAATGTGATCGTTGCTAACCTGACGGTGACGGACAAAGACCAGCCTCACACTCAAGCCTGGAGTGCTGTGTACCGCATCATTGCCGGAGACCCCACCGGACGCTTCTCCATCCCCACCGACCCCACCACCAACGAGGGCCTGCTCACTGTGGTCAAGGTGGGACTCTACAACACACTCACACAAGCACACATACACTAAAATGAACGAAAAAGAAACGTAAAGGCCTAATTTTATAATACTCTCTCTCCATGCTGTGCGTTTTTACTGATTTTCTTTCTCTGATGTGCACATCCTGTGCATCAGCACTTCTCAACCTGGGGTCTGGGCACCACTAGGGGTCCTTGGGGGTGTTCCCCAGAAAAATATTCTAATTTCACTATTATTTAATTGACTACAAGTTAGCCTAGTGAGAGAATTTATATGAATTATTATTCTATTCAAAGGTTTGACTTCTGCTACTGGCTTACCAGTATGTCTGAACTGCAGCAAGAAATTAGCATCATAATTACAGGCTCAAATATATTTTACGGCTCCAAATTATTTTCTTTTCCAAAAATGTCTCTTTTGATAGTAAAGGTTGCTGACCTCTGGGTTAAGCCATAAGAGGGGAAATAAAAGAAAAAGTACAATCAACCTTACACTTTAACATGAACCGTGGAATGGAGAGAAGTAATTAGGCTAAAGATCTGTGGAGCCTGTAGGTGGAGCAGATCAGAGACATTAGTCCATGCCGGACTTTAGAAACCAATGAAAGAGCCTGAGAATAAATTCCAAATTTAAAGGGAGGCAAGCTGTGATCTCTCTTCTTGCCAGTCAGGAGCCTTACAGCTTATTTTGGATAACTAAAGGTGAGATGAGACTGACTGAGTGAGTCCCAGATTCTATCAAGACAGAAAGAGATAAAACTCCCCAGATCCCTACCACAGAGAAATTTCATTTTGCAGTTGATGGAAAATGGAAGAAGTTAATGCATGTTTTTTTGCTTGTACAAATGGAGAACCTTGATGTCTAAGAAGGTTTAGACTACACACTACGGTGGTCATTGTCCTCACAACCAATATGAGAAAATCAATGGATGAAGAGTTTTCAAGTTGGTCCTAGGAGGAGTCTGATGGAAGAAAACAGCAATATTATTGAGTGCTACGGTTCACTCTTGACCTTGGAAAAATAAATAGTGAAAAAAATGCCTGTGTTGAATTTCGTGGACATCGGATGCGTCATGTCACTAATTATCTTATCCCTCCCTTCTTCTGTGCAGCCCATAGATTTTGAGCTGACGCGTTCCTTCATGCTGACGGTGGAGGCAGAGAATGAGGTAACACTGGCTCGCGGCATTCACCTGCCCCGTCAGTCCACCGCAACTGTCTCCATTCGAATCCTGGACATCAACGAGAGTCCAGAGTTCAGTCCCAACCCCAAGTCTATCAAACTGGAGGAGGGTCTGCCCGCTGGGTCTTTACTCACCACCTTCACTGCCCAGGACCCAGACCGCTTCATGAGACAAACTGTCCGGTAAGACACCCACTGGAAGCTATGACTTGTTTCATTTTGTGATAGTGAGTTCACACAGTTTCAGTCACACTTCAAGCTAAAATAAAAATAAAAAAGTATCAATAAAACGTGTAGTTGAACTAACTTTTTTGATAAGAAGAACCTTTGAATATCTATATGCCTTTCCATCCTTTAACTTAGCCTTGCAGTTATTAGAATTAATTCTGAAATCCCTTTCATTGACAAGGTATGTAAGGAAATTTGCTTATTAGTATGTATTTAATGCAACCTTGGACTCAATATTGTTTTTATCTATTCATACAATGCATAGCATTGACATAGCTGGAACAAATCAAATTAAAGGCAGAATTAACATAAAGCCCTTCTCTGTGACTGCAAGAGTTGTCAGATCACTACGACCCTGCAAGGGATAAGAGGGTATAGAACAGTCGGTTGGTTGCTTGGTTGGTTGGATGATTGGATTAACTGTGGGGGTCTCGGGTCGGGCTCGGGTCGGGTTCGCCCATAAAAATCAGAATGCTTCTCGGATTCAGCTCGGATTTGGACAGAAATACAGGTCCTGAGTTGCACTCTAATGTGAACATACTCAAAGACCCTCAAAGCTGAAAGTCAGCACTTTAACTTACAGTTATAGTTTAATGTCAAATACATTGAACCAGAGCTGACAAAGTGAAACACACACAACTGCCTATATGCTCATATACACATCGTAAAAATGTGATTTTAAAGAGATTATATGGTGATCTTTAAAGGAAAGATAAACATAAAATAATGTTCCCAGTCTCAGGGTTCCTATGCGGTATGGAACAGTATGGTATTTAATTGATTTTGATTTTCCAGGTCTGGAAAAGTATGCAAAACAGAAAAGAGACGTAAAAATGTTTTTCAGACTATTCAGAATTTCTAAAAATGAATTGATCGTGACTATTGTTTAAGTTGAGTAGTGTTTGGAGCCGGCAGTCAGGAAATGTTTACCACTGCCGTCCCTCTCGCCTTACCAAAAGAAAGAAAGAGGTACGTGCCACTGAACGCACACTACTTCAGAGCTGCCTCTACTGCTGAACGTCACAGCCTGCAAAACAGCTCTGCCCCAAGCATCTGATAACTGAACCACATCCAGACATCTGCGGACACATTGGTTTGAAAGAAAATGCAGCAAGATTTTATGCTTATGAGTTCTACAGTGATGTAGTTATTAGAGAAGTAAACAGCCTATCTTTTCTGCGTAAGGACACCCTTACGGCTGCGTTCATTGTTTCCATGGACACAGTGTATAAACGAGCACAGCCATGAAAATTTAATTATTTTTCCAACTAATTTAACCAGTTAGTTTCTGCCCACTGTGGGTAAATGTGTGTTTTCTGCTTAACAATCCCAAATCTATTAGCAATTATTAGTTAGAATGTAACATACATGTTAAACAGTTAATAAATGTACAATAAACATCTATCTCAGATGTCATATATTATCTGAACAATCTACTCTTAATGGAGAGGAGGACTTTGAATTTGTCTTTTCCTTTGTTCAGAATTTCCCTTCACTGATCAAGTTCAACAACACAATTTAATTTTCTCAGCAGAAGTGAACGTTTGCCTTCTCAATTAGCGAGGGCAGCGTGCTGCTCTCTGTTGCAGCCCCATTTTGCGATAAAAGCTGATAAGATGGCTGGATTTATTTATTTTATGTCTAAAAACATCTTGTCTGGGGGAAATGTATATCTCTGCACATCCTGCAGCACTGTGCTTAACAGCAACCAGACCAGAGCGCAGAGAGCCTGCAGGACCGCTGCTTCTTGTCCCCATCCTTCTTTCTTTTACATCCCACTATTTGTTTCTAAATGTGGTGCTGAAGTCTTTGTAGCCTAGCAACAGCCAATGGTGGACGCACACTGTGTTCACAAAAACATGCTCACACACACACACGCTCACACACATAAAGCGAGTGTATTGTGCGCTATAGAGCAGGCCAGGGAGAGCATTTTGGTTTCTGATTTTTCTTTTTTGTTGCGTTGTCAGTGCTGCTCCCACATTAATTCAGAACTGTGCCTTTCTACTCTTTATCTCACAAATTAAAATTATACCAAATAGACAATAATCCCTATTCATGGGTGGTTTACGGTGGCTTTCTGGCAGCGCTGCTCGCCTTTGTTTAAAGCTGTGCTATTTTCCTGTTTATTCACATAATTTCTCAACTGCGTGCTCCGTTTGAAACATGACTTCTGCAGTTACACCAGTGCAGATACAAGAGTAAATTCTGTTAGATAAACACATTTAATCAGCAAGTCACAGGGCAAGCTTCATTCTTTTTATGGGTTGTTTCCAATGACTTACAACAAATTTACACTGACAAATATATTTTTTGAGGTAATTTTCAAATCTGTTAAAGGTGGAATCATTTCCAGTGCGAATAAACGAATGAGTTGTGGTTGCTTCATGAGAGTGCTGCAGCCTCCATATATCAGCTCTGCAGTAGCTGCTTGGCCTGTAGCCAGGGAGGCAGATAAAGAAGCCTCTCTGTGGCAGTTTCTCATGCTGTCTTTCTCACTGGCTGAATCCAGGTACTCCAAGATGTACGATCCTGCCAACTGGCTGGAGATAGACCCGGTTAACGGTCGGATTTCCACCATTGCCATCCTTGACCGGGAGTCTCCCTACGTCAAGAACAACCTCTACAACGTCACCTTCATGGCTTCTGATAACGGTGAGGGCAGTGCCGCCGGTGTCCTGTGGTAACCCCATCCCCCCACATACAGAGGTGGATTGTGTTCACTGTGCCTCCGTGCTCTTTCAGTAATTGCAGTGGTGCTGGTTTTACTTTGGAGTCAGTGTCCTAGTCTGGCTTCTGCAGACTCTCTGCAGTGCTGGGAAAGCAGCTTGAAAACAGACTCAACAATCAACTATCTTTCTCTGCTCTGATTGGTTGTTTTTGTTCAGGCCCAGTGGATTCTTGTAAATATCATCAGGAGCACTAGGAGGAGCCAGAGGAACCGGATTTTTTCACAGATTATCTGTCTCATGTACAATTCAGGATAAAGTGAAAGTTTCAGCAAATATGACAAAAAATATTCTTATACAAATTACGTACTTCAGCTTTAAAGACAAAACAAAATATAGTAATATAGCATTTAGTCATGCTATCTACTAAAAACAGCTCACTACTGATTTTGAAAATAGCTTCCCTACCTGAACACTACTGGGAAATGTTAAACTAGTAACATCTCTACATGTAGCAATAGAACACCCTGTCGGTACCCTAGCAATAGCTCCTGCCTTATTTGTACTGCCCATGTGCAACTCTCAACAGAGATGCGAAGGAAGCAAGATGGCTCACACATGTACTTCAGCTCCGGACAAAACGACATCCTCTATTTCTCTGTATTAACTAACTAGCATTAATAACTTAACAAAACGTTGGCACCACCTCTGCTAACATTAGCTAAGTTATCTGAAGTTTGAAAAACAAAATGTCTGCCTGCAAAAAACAATCGCTTTTGCGATTGAAGGTGGACTTCAAGTGGACTTTAAATCAATTAGTAGAGAGATCTTATTTTATTTTACCCCGCGTATGTTAAGACCTGCTATCTGCTCCACACAAGCCAGTGGTGTAGAGTGGCCACTGGCCAGATTTGATGTGCATTCTTCAGTGAGAAACTCATTGGTTCTCTTTTGTTTTAAAGTGGATTTCTGAATTGATTTTAAATTCGATTCATCATTAAGATTTGTAAAATTGGTTTAAAATATTGTCTTCCCTCAAAACTGCCTAATGATGCTGTGTCACACACAAGCTTTCTGATTAAAATAATTGGTTTGACACATCGCTGTTGAATATAGCAAATTTAGGCTTAGTGTGGGTACCCACATGTCCTGCTTCCTGACTGAAATTAAGCTTAAATTTCACAGAATGGGAAGAGGAAGAATTCTTCCTGTGGACAACAGATTGTACTATCCACCTTTAATTACATTTCAGTTCTTTATTCCCGTAATCAAATATCCTGATCGGGGAGGCTTGTAGGATTAAGCTTGTATCTTTTGGACACAGTGCTCCCATTGATTTCTAATAGAGATGTTTTTCCGCCTATTTAGTGCGTGATTCCCAAAGTCTTTCTCTTGTTCTGATCACAACTGCGCTTTATAGCCATGGAAAAGAGGATTCTCTGTTCAAAGTGGAAAATTGTTCAAGAGGAATGTCATTCAGCAGCAGCTCGGTCCATCCACTCTACCCTGTGCCCTCCTCATACAGAGACCCCGCTGTGCTCGCCAGCTTCCTGCTAACTCACTGTCTTGGCACATTCTCTGCCCTTGCACACATGCACTGCAAGGAGCCCACTGATAAAAAAACAGACACAAGGACAAGCACACGCAAGCTTGTGCAAGAGGTTACATGTCTGCAGTTCCTCAGCGGTCGCCATATGTGCACCGGTCACTGACTATTACTGAGCATACTGCAGTTTATAGTGTCCAAGAAGAATAAGTTTATGATTTGCATTCATTTTGAAATCCACATGAATCCACGTAAGGTGCTATAGTGAGTATTTAGGGCAGCTAACGCTTTTTATTTTGGACTCTGCAATAGCTGCTGTGCCTCTCCCAGGCCAAAATATTAACTTTGTACATGGTATGCCATTGCCTGTTGCATTACATTAATCATCCCAAGGGAATAAACCTTTTTGGTTTTAATGACCCCTTCTCTACCACAATCCACAGGAGAAATGTTATTATGGGATGTAATGAGCAGCTTTTACCTAGGTTTTAGACTTGTACTTATTTTCTTAAGGCTAATAGAAGAAAACAATTTCTACCATGTTTATCTTTAGTAGCCAGTGATGTCGTGGGAAGGGAAATGGGCAGGAGATTTTGGTGTAAAAAGAGTCTTCCAATCATAGTTATAATTCACTCCGTTTAATATACCTGAACTGACTGCTGTCTTTTATATCATAAACCTGCAGTTGAATCAGTTGTGACCTCCACCCAGTGACTTATTGTAATTAGCTATATTGGGTGCAATAACTGTATTGTGCGTAGTCATTGCTAAAGTAGTAAATAGAACAAAATGTTGAACATGTTTCCCCTCTGTGTGTCCAGGTATCCCACCTGCCAGCGGGACAGGCACTCTACAGATGTACCTGATGGACATAAACGACAATGCACCTCACGTGTTCCCCCCTGAGGTGGAAATGTGTGAAAAGCCAGATCCCAATGCCATCAACATCACAGCCAGTGACCCAGACCTGACCCCAAACGCTGGACCCTTCGCCTTCGAGCTGGCCAGTCGTCCATCAGACGTGCGCCGCAACTGGACACTGAATCGCGTTAATGGTCAGTAGGCGATAATTAGGGTTGGGTATCGGTTGGGTTTTATCCGATACCGGTGCCTACACAGTATTCTCAGTTCCGGTGCTTAAACGGTTCTCGAACCGGTACTTAAAAAAACGAAACCACACACACTTTGTCAAAAAACAATACCCTTTTATTTCCACGGCCAAATTGAACACAATATTAAGTTAACGACATAGCACACGTTGTCACTCACGCTGTTGAATGGCAACGGTGTTTGCTAGCCTACTTGACACGCATGATTTGCGGTTGGCATTAAATTACTAGATTTACCCGAAGAGGAAAGGCTGCTGTCATCATCATCATCTGTGATGTCCACCACCACACTGGCAGGGCTGGGAGTCTCTTCAATTTGTCCGGCGAGGCCGACACTGGCTGCAGCTGCTGAAGTGCTTGGCCTTGCGTGATGTAGGTTATCAAACACAGTGCATTATTCGGCTTTAAATAAACTCCATGTGTCACCAGATGTTTCATCAAATTCAACGTGTTACCTCCCTTGCATGCAATTGTTTTTTGGCATCTGTTGCATGTCGCAGAGTCTGCATCCTTAGACGTGAAATGCAGCCAAACCTTGGAGCGGTTTGCCTTCGGCATCTTCATTGATCCTCTCACTATCAGTTCTGATAAACAAGTGTGCTGAGTAGCGGCACTGACGTCACGCAAGTTGACTCCGGAACACCGGGTGGCGGTAAAAAAAAAAAAATCAGGCACCGAAATGTTCGTTCATATTCGGTCTGGTTACTACCGTTTACGTTGGAACCGGGGCCCTATTGGTACCGCGTTTCGGTACCCAACCCTAGCGATAATGTGTCTGATATACATCATCATTCATTAATTCCCTCTCATAGCTTAAGTACCTGATTAAATGGAAGAATACAACAAAACTAGTTATTTACATAGTCACCCAATATCGATGGAAAACTTTGTCTTGCAATGTCCTGAGGGTCCAAAAAGGCGTGATTGACCTCAGTATGTACTGTAACTCCAAGTCTCAGAGTAAATCATTTCTTAAGCTGCACTTACTTACACTAGTGCAGTGCCCGTAGGAAGTATGTATTGCTATAGAAAGTGGGAGGTTAAGTAGCTTTTTCATGGATGGCCAAATGAGGTTGTGTTTGAAGGTGGGACGTCAGGGACATTTAGGTTTGTTGCGAAATGTGCAGATTGATAACTATTGTGTTTTCATATAATTTGTCTTTTAGCAAGGACACTGTAGGGAGATGAACCCCATTCCACTAATGTGAAAGTACCACACCTCATGGTCAGCGCATATAAATTCTGAAAGAAGAAAGTGAACTACATCTGAAATGGGATGAAACCTGGCAGCATAAACAGACTAACTTGTAGCATAGCCTAGTAAATGAACTGGACAGGACATATTATTTAGCCCTGTCACTCAACTTAATAAAGAGAAATGTCCCACAAAGCAACGTTACAGGACCAAACAACAGTAACGTAGTAACTGTAACTGTCTTTGGAAACTTATATGAGGAAAAAAAATACCACAACTGTACGTGGAGAAGCGTCTGTCCTCCTGTCTGTCCTCCCACCTGTCCTACCGACTCTTCGTCACATTTCTGCCCGAAAAACAGCGTCTGTCACCGGCGAAAAGTGTTTGTGATCAAAAATCACCGCGACCGCCAGCCCTCCGGACCGAGACATCAGTTTACTTTCCACCGGAAAACATTCTCTGTCTTGCGAGTGAGGGAGCCAGACAGTGTCCAGTTTACTGCTGGTGATTATGTAGAATTATGTCATTTAGAGTGAAAAACGTAACTTCGTCACTTTCCAGGATGTTTGGTGGGTCAGGATCTCAATTACTACACATTAGGGCTCTGCAGTGATTGGCTCTGGTGTGCACGTGGCTATGGTGGCTATGGTAATGCTAGCAGAATTCTAAATAATTTATGAAATAATTTATTAACTGTATCTTTGTAGTCCAAACAAAGCTGATGTTGCACACCCTTAAACCACACAGCAGCCATGTTGAAACTCTCAGGTCAGTCTGATCCTGATCTGCAGAGATATTTGAGCCACACACACACAGACAGACAGAGATTCCTTGCTTTATAGATAGACAGATAGATAGACGGCTGTGCGATAGAGGTAGAGCGGGTCGTCCACTAACCGGAAGGTTGGCGGTTCGATCCCCGGCTCCTCTTGCTGCATGTCGAAGTGTCCTTGAGCAAGATACTGAACCCTAAATTAATCCCTGTGTATCTGTGCATCGGTGTATGTGTGGGAATGCTTAGTTTCCGTTCTGGTGAGCAGTTGGCATGGTATGAATCTACGCGAATGGCGTACAGCGCATTGAGTGGTCGAAAAGAAAAAGGCAGTATATAAGTACAGTCTATTTACCATTTACATACTACTATTTAATATGGTAAATGGACTGTACTTGTATAGCAATTTGGGGTTCAGTATCTTGCCATATATCCATACTTCGACATGGAGAACCAACAATGTTCTGATTAGTGAGACTCTACCTCTGAGCCACAGGCTCCCTCTGATAGAGGACTCGTTGTCTGAGACTAGACTGACCTCAAACTGATTAATCTTTGAAATAATTTGCAGAGGCCTGTGGACCAGTGGACATGTAACGGTGGTGACCAGCTTGCTGGTTGAAGAACCTCAACTGGGCCGCAATGACTGATGCCACTGTGCCACTGTGTTTTAGTAGCCTTATTGAACAGCCAAGGTTGATTTAGTTCCAAATTTAAACAGGAAACTGTTTTCTCTACCTCTTTATTTTCCTCAGCACATTTCCATTTATAACACAAGAGAGAGAAATGATCCACTTTCTCTGCTTATAATAAAGCTACATAACAGAGATAAATCTGGGTCTGGTTGCATTTTGTTTAGAAAGAAACATTTTATTCTACTTTCCACTTCAGTATTTTGGAAGTACTTTATCTATTCAAGCCTGGTGTAAGGTTTGGGTAAAGTTTCTATTTCCATTTCAATTTTTGTTGGTATTTTAGTAAGAACCCCCAGCTACTCTAGCTGACCGCCATTAGAAGACTCTAGCAGTACTGGGCAGCTGTCGTGAGTGGTGAGGAATTAAAATGCTTGCTTTTGTTTTAATTTCTCCATCTGTCTATCCTTCCATCTAATCATACTCTAGGTGAGTACGCCCAGCTTCGACTACGAATCTCCTCCCTGGCCAGCGGGATCTACGAGATTCCCATCATGATCACAGACTCTGGCAACCTGCCCATGTCCAACACGTCCTACCTGAGGGTCAAGGTCTGCCAGTGTGATCACCATGGAGACTGCGTGGACATGGAGCGGATCATTGCTGCAGGACTGGGCACCGGTGCCATCATCGCCATCCTCATCTGTATCATCATACTATTAGGTAAGCCTCCCACAAACACACACACATACATGTTGCTGTAGCACTTGGTAGACCTCAAAGAATACACAGACATTTGTGTTCCAGTGAAGATGAGTAAGAAAAATTAGCATGCTAACACACTAAACAAAGATGAACATACCTGCAAAACATTAGCATCTTAGTATTATCATTGTGAACATGTTAACGTGCTGATTTTTGCATTCAGCTCAAAGATTTTCAGATTTTGATTCCATACCAATTGTCTGTGTGGAATAAAGTAGCTCTACACAGGTTTTCAGCGTCAACACAGCTGTTTCTGTTTTTTGATGTTTCTTTTTCTTGCCCCTTTGGACCTATTTTTAGCAATGTTGCTGTAGCGATGAACTTCGGTGTGTTGTCATGACTGGTTGAACCAATGGGCCGAGCTATAAAAACACAGCCAAAGTTGAAATAAACCCACATTGATGTTTAACTTGATATGGGCTCACATGGTTCCTAAATAAAGTTGTGTTCAATCGAATACACCACAAACTAATTAAAACGGAGAAAACCTTGGGCCAGATATTGGCTTAGGAGTACTGATGCATTTCTGGGTCTTTGGGTTTGTAATGAAGCTACCATGGTCTATGTCTGTTCTGTGCACCGAGGCAGCAAGGTATGCACACAAGGCACATAGGCTGGTAAGGGGGTTTGGGGGTAGGGGTTTGATAGGGAGCAGCAAAGCTTTGCCTTAGGGCCCCTGACTACTTCAATTTGGCGATGTCCACATCTAGCACCATGGGAAGAAAAGGTATAATTTTACTCATCTATTATTTGCACTGAAAGGCAAAGAATTTATCACTTTTGTTCCATTTGTTGCTGCAAGCACCAGCTAGAATCAGTCACTGTGAGTGAAGCTCCTCTACTAAAGCATAGGTTTACCATGGCAGAGATCCCAGGCTCTAATCCCAAGTGAGAGTGTCAAGCTGGTTGCAGTATTTCATGAATTATGTGCTTGTGAACAAGTAGCACTTCATGTGCTTGGACACTGTGCGTAGCCCTTTTGAGCTGCTTCCTCACCAAAATGCTACAAGGTGACAACAAGGGCTGAGACAAGGAACTCGGCTCTCACTGAGTGCTCAGCTGCAGCAATAATACATGATTATGAACAAGTAGTAATTCACTGGGATTTACTGCACCAGACATCAAAGTGCATCAGCAATGAACTTTGTTTAGCGGTCGAGGAGTGTTCAGATATGTGTACAAATGCAATGATTGCACCACACTTTTAAAACGGAGGGAGCGCAATCAAGATGGTGCTCTGACTCATGCCAACTCACCTGGTGGGTGCTTTTTTCAAAGTTTGCTTTCGACAGCTAGAATAAAAGCACCATGGCTAACCAGGCTTTTTTGAAAACTAACCCAGAGTGAGAGCTTTGCAAGCTGTGATGGAAAAAGGATCAGAGCAACAGGCAGGATTTGGAACTAGAGAAGTCATAGGGAATTCTACAGTTCTCTATTTTAATAACTTCCAATTTCATTGGAAATTGTAATGGCACCTCAAGTTGTACAATAAGAAATGTCTAAAGCATTGAAAAATCATTTTGATGGCTATTTTTGAGGACAAATGGTCCAACAGTGCCTACAGAGGGCAAATGGAATGAAAGAAAAACAGCGCAGTAAGGGCTGCCGTCTGTTAGTATGGGTGTATTCTCATGTTTTCCAGTCAAAGTAGAATATTGATGTATTTCATTACTAAATTGTGATTTAATTACTATTGTTGTTTAAATATTTGTTCTGCATTTTTAATTTTCCATGCATATCTGTTATACAGTGAGGGAAGCTAAACCACTTCACTCTTTAGGACTAGAGAAGAATAAATACAGTACAGACAAAAGTTAAAATTACATTTTAAATGGAAGTGCAGATAGGAGTTGAAGTGTCAATTTAAGGTCTGAATGAAGTCGAGGTGTCAATTGAAAGCTCCAGTATGTAACATTTAGGAGGATCTATTGTCTGAAAGTGAATATAATATTCATAGGTATGTTTTTCATTAGTGTATAATCACCTGAAAATAAGAATTATTGTTTTTTCATTACCTTAGAATGAGCCGTTTATATCTACAGACACCACAGGTCGCTTCCATGGAGTCCGCCATGTTGAACCGACATGTTTGTACAGGAGCCCAGAAGGGACAAACCAAACACTGACTGTAAATAGGACCGTTTACATTTTTTGCATGTTTTTCCACAACAATTCAATTAAATTCAGTTCAATTACATTTTATTTATAGCGCCAATTCATAACGAAAGTTATCTCACTTTTCAAATAGAGCAGGTCTAGACCGAACTCCATATAATATTATTTACAGAGACCCAACAGCCGGTAAATTCTATGACTTTGTTAGCAAGTGCTGTCCTGTATTGTCAAGAAAATATTCTTTCTCTTTCTTAAAGAGTGGGAACCCTGACAGTGTTTGAAAGATACCTCTTAGTGGGGGCCTACATTTTAGTAAAAGCTGCAAAGATGCATGTTTCTTTAATGAGTGAATTTTCAGTTCAAATCTTGACAGTTGCTATGGCACCGCCATTAGGAGCAGTGAAAAAAATTGGCCGTTTTTTAGTTCAAGGAAAGACAGCTTGTGAAGAGGAGAGAAAGAAAGGACAGCAGAAGTAATAGGCTGATGGCCCTTGGGCCTGGTCACCTAAAGACAGAAAAGTTTATTTATGTGGCACATTGACCACATCATGGAATGTGGCCAATTCTTGAGTCGGGCACTGACTCTTCTTATTTTAAACAGACTAGATGTGCTGTCTGTTGTCTCGTTGAAAGGCTGCAAGCAGCCAGCCTTCCCTGTTGGTTTCACAGAGAAATGTTACTAATGGTGACAAGCCATTTTTCAGATGGCCTCTCTGGGGTTTAAATTGTCCTCACTTAGAGTTTCACTCTGCGTCCTAATGTATTTTGGCCCTTGCAGGTAGAGCAGTGCAGGTTTACAAACAGATGCACACACTGAGCTCCTCTGTCTCATGAATCCACCCAGATTAATATGATCAAAAGGAGAAAGATTCACATCAAGTTTTAAAACCCTCCACTTTCTCAAAATAGAGAGTTCTGTCATTCCTTCAAATACTCAGTCCCATATGACGGGATTTCAGTTGTTGCTTGGTATTTAACTAGGACTGTGTGCTGTGTAAGGTAGGCTGAGGAGATAACAGAGGCTTTGCAGTTGTGATACAGATCTTGCATTAATCATAATGAACCAGGACTACTGGAGAACTGGCTTTGCACTGATACAGTACTATAGTTGAAGAAAGAGTGTTGCAATGTGGGTGTAAAAATCACTAACATGATTTCATAAGGAAGCCATGCTTCTAAATGTTGAGAAGGGTAAGCACACTGATTTGTCCAGTAGTATTTTAGAGCAGTGCCTCCCATCCTTTTTGGCCCATCACCTCTTAAAATCAAACACTGTCTACTTGCAGTCCCTTGTCACAGTTTATGGCTTTAGTGTAAAGTGAAGTTTGGATCGGTTCCATCAATGTGTGATTATCCCCTCTCAGATTGTTTAATTTCAATTTGTGTTTTCCGAGGCATGACTTATAATGATCCATTAATGTGTACCTACCCCCGTCAGATTGTCGTAGTTTTGCTGTTGATAACCATGGGCCAAGACGATGATTTCCTCTTTTTTTCACATTTCGGCCTTTGCATTAGCATCCATTTAGAACCACTATTAGGACACATTTTCAACTGTGTTGAATTAGATGATTCCATGGCATGTCCTGTAGTGCCACCCTGCACTATCCTGAGGTGTAAAGAAATATCAATACACTTATTATACACTTAATATCGAGTATTGCGATATTATGTATTGTGATACAGTATCAATTCTCACAAACACTGCAGTCGTTCCTTTTGTGTTACCACTATAGCAGTATTTTCAGTCTCTTCAACTCCAACATAACAAAGTAAACTGAGACAGAAAACACTATTATTTGTCATTAATTGTCATTATTATAAGAGATGGGCAGAGTGTGTTCTTTATACTATGGCAGGTTTTTTCTGAAACACGTGGACTATTGACATGGGGCCATTATGGAACCCGCAGACAATCTCATATAGGGCCCATTTTTTCGAATACCCACATACAGATGTTGGCTGGGTAGTGGAGTTGTAGAATGCTGGTTTTGAGTCTTTCAGACTGTTCTGGAAGCCTTTTATGAACTTGAATTGTCCCTAATATTAAACAATGTCCTTATCTTGTGTTGTCACACGTGCAGTGCTGGTGCTGCTGTTTGTGATGTGGATGAAGAGGAGAGATAAGGAGCGACAGGCCAAGCAGCTCCTCATTGACCCAGAGGACGACGTCCGAGACAACATCCTCAAATATGACGAGGAGGGAGGTGGAGAGGAGGACCAGGTACGCACATGTGCCATCTGCACAGATTACTCAATCTACCTTTATTTTCTTTCTCATTGTTGTTGTGTTGGTATGTTGTTTCTTATTGGGCAAGCTCAATATAGGTTAGTGTTACATTACCTGTGATTGGTGGTTTTGACTCCTGGTTTACCTTAGTTCCACTGATGTTTGACAGAAATCGCCCTCAAGCTGCACTTAGGTTTATCAGCACTAAATATATGCACATCCTCTTAACAATTCACACTCGCCTCATTCTTTCACACCCACACTCCCACCTAGTCACATACACACACAGTCTCAGAAATGAACCATAAAAGACACATAATGTTGCCACACAGACACACACTCTGCTTCTCTACAGTTTTCAATCATCTGTCCTCCAGCTAAGATTAAGTGTACTACAAAAGAGGACCTCGAAACAGGATTAATTGCTTTCTGTTGGAGAACAATTTCCTGTGTCCCTCCACACAACTCGTCTGCTGGTGCCAAGCACATAAGCTGCTCTGCACTTCTGCTGGGAAAAATGTTTAACCCTCATTTACCCAGCCAACTTGACTGAGCATGCTTTTCTTTTTACAGCAGTAGCTCATTAGAGTGGCTGTAAAGGGAAGGAAGTTACACGGTATAGGTACAAACATACATGCACTATTTTTCCTGTTTCCAGATTTTTAACAAACAAATCTTTTGTAAAAGTTGTGTGACAGGTTCATACTGCTTTCAGGATACAGCCACAGCCTTGCACCTCGGACAAAGGCTCACACCTTCACCTGCCTACTTGGCTTTTATCACAAGTAACCGCCGGCATTCACAATGGAAGTATTACAAACTCACTGGCAAAGTTTAACTAGCAGTGCGGGTGATGACTGACTGATTCACGTTTAACCCTCAGGGCTTACTGTAGCTGTTCAGTCCTACAAAACCTCGACATTTCCTGTACACGCTAAACCGCAGCCTGCATGCCGAAAAATACAGAAGAAGCCACTTGGGGACTTCCGGGCTTGCCAGCATACACCAGAGGCAGACAGTAGATTTGATGGGCAGACAGATTCTTTTCACAGAACCAGTTCCTTCAAGTTGACACATGTAAATGTATCAAACCTTTCAAACCTTTCGAGTTTTGATTTAGGGTCAGTTTCTCCATGACATTCTCATAGTGCTGCCTGCCTCACAAAGCTTTTTTTCACAGGTGGTCTTTAATCCTCACTTATAATAAATACTTGTTTAACCTTAAATGTTAAAGGTTAAAGGTAACATAATGCAGTTGTCCTGGAGCAGAATATGACCGGTAAATATCAGCAAAGGTTTCTGATTGGTGGAGAGTGAAACAAAGTAAATACTCCCAGAGAACTTTCAGCAGTGAATGCTGTATTTCAGAGAACAGGCAGGCAGAGGGTGTGCTTCAGTTGTTGTTCAAAGGTCATCCCACCCAAAGGCCTCTACACATTTTGTGATAACAGTGTTCTTGCGGATCATGTCATGTCACGCTGTGTGAGATGAGTCTGATAATATTTTGGTCTCAGGACTGTCAGGATTTCGATACAAACTGACTTTGGTCACCGAAGCTCTACAGAAACATTCCACCACAGTTATCTGATGTTTTTCAACCTTGGCCTGGTACAGTGTGTTTAGACCTTGAGTTGGGTAGCCTTCTGTGGCCATGGAATGAATACTCTCAAAAAACAAGCTCACACTCAGTTATCAAAAAAATATGCAAAGTATGTATATGTTGGCCTGGTAGCTACCTAATTAGGCTTCTAACTTCCAACGATTTTCTTTCGCTTTATTTCCGAATGGGAGGCCTTTCCAAACGCTGGTGCGCAAAAGTCTTCCCATCTTCTTGTAACCCAGACTAACCCCCCATTCACATTTGTGGACTCAAATACAGTAGAAGAGGCAGGCGGGCAGTAGTTGTGAATTGAATCTGAATACAAATGCTGTCGCCAGCCGCAGAGACTCAAAAGATGCCCAGTGGCATGATGTGAAGGTGTTAATAGAAAGTTTAAACTTAATGTTCGCTGACATGTGGGAGAGGCTGCCTGCATAGTGCTCGTTTTGATCCCCGACAACGCTGCAGAGACCAGCTCGAGTGCAGATACAGGGCCGCAGTGCCAATCAATCTTACCTGCTCTTGTGTCATGACTGTACAGTGTGTGCACAGTTTCAATAACACATATTACAAAGCACATATAGCCTGCTGCAAAGGTGGCAGCTGTTCTGTATGTTAAAGTGAACTACTTTGTGACAAAACAGCCGCTCAATTAAAGCTAAGTATGTTAATGAAATTCTAAATGCTAAACATGTCGGACAGCCTGGCATTTATTTATGTGTTTGTGTCAATAATTGTGTCGTGGTTGTGGAAATCTTGTGAAAGTGCAGTAGGAGTAGGTTTACTCTATGGCTCACCAAAATGTGAGTTTTGAAAGCCAAGAAATGAATCGTGTGCTTCAAACACAATGCATAGGAAGATATATTATATTATATATGTATATGTACATTTTATGTATATGCAAATATATGTGTATATATGTGTGTGTATATATATAGTGTTTATATGGGTGTTGTTTTTTTTTTTTTTTTTTTTTTTTTTTTTTTTTTTTTTTTTTTTTGTTTTTTTTTTTTTTTATTTTTTTTTTTTTTTTTTTTTTTTTTATATTTTTTTTTTTTTTTTTTTTTTTAAAATTTTTTTTTTTTTTTTTTTAAAAAGGAATGCCTTTTTTTAAATTTTTTTTTTATATGAAATTTGAATATAAAGCAGGAAACCTTGTCTTGAGTAAACTTTATAAAATATAAAATCAGTCATTGATCTATGAATGAATGTGGGTGATAATTTACAACCTGGTGAATGTGGGCCAATATTCACTAGCAGTAGTTCAAACACAAATGCATAGGAAAGGTAGGGTTAAAGCAGGAAAGTCAGTAAATCAGTCATTGATCTATGAATGAATGTGGGTGATTCTTACAGTATCTGCTGTCCACAAAGGCTGTATATTGTATGAAAAGCTTCTCCTTCCTTCTCGCCGGATATGCTAAGTTGTTTTAAGTGCAGAGCCCGAGCACAGTGTCTTTACACACGACCGTTCGCTAAGTTTACCTTCATTAAATCGCCTGAAAACAACAGCAGGTTGCTACAATATAACCATACAGAGCTCTACACACACCAAACTTGTCTGATGGAACTCGATATTCTGCTTTTTATGAAGGAGACATCCGGTTACCAGGGCTTATCAAACCTTCATCCAACTTTATGTTTTGGCATTCTTAGCGTCTCATGTTTTATCTGTGAAGCACACTGCAATGCAAACGCTGTTGTGTAACATTAATTACTGAACTATATGACCATGTACCAGGTGAGATACATGATAATTATTACTAAAAGAGCATCAGTCAGATAGATTATAATAATACAAATCAGGGTCTTTATTTTGATACAATTTTCAATAATCACCACCTATGATCTATATCCACCTTCACCCAGCCCTTTTGCAGGTTGCACTGCTGAACATACATGGACCAAATTAGAAGGTGCGCACAGAGACGCCATACAGCCTATGAGATCACCTTGCACTTGGCATTAAGGGTGCAAAAGTATTAAACTCACGGTGCAATGCAAGTTTGCACCCTGTTAGAACCGGGCCTGAATATAAAGCGACTCTAATTACACGTTACAAAAAACATTCATTCATTCCATATATTCATTCAATTTCCTAAAGGGCATGCAATATATAAACATATGTGTGTATTTTTTATGAAGTAAATTGTAATTTCTGTTTTTTCACATTAGTTGAGTTACTACACAATCTTTTTGTACCCCTTGGCAACTACCCCCTGGGGTAACAAGTAACCCTGGTTGGGAATCACTGCTTGCTGAGAGTACATCAGTCTATCGTTGGTCCTTACGAGAAGCAAACCGCATTTCCTTTCTCCCTGTCAGGTTATTGCAGGGCTCTCAGCTGCTCTTCAGTGAAAAGTATTCTGTTGGTCGACCATTATTGTGAACAAAGCCCAAGGTCAGTCCAGAGCATGCTGTTATTGTCCTGAAAAGGCTGCTTTAGTCGATTTCCCTGGAGACCAGAGAGCACGAAATGGTTTCTGGATGGTTGCTGCAGTGACTCAGACAATACCATTCAACATGAACAGATCAGAGGCTGTGACACACACACTTCCCCTCTGCCCGCTGACTGTGCTAATGTTGTGTAAGAGAAGGTGAAAGAGAGACTGCGTTTCTCTAAGTGGATGCTAATTAAATAACAAGAGTAGGGTTCACTCCTCCCTCAGGACAGAGGATGCAGGAGAAATGGTTGCATTAGAGGAACTCATCATGCCCATTTGACTCATTGAAATTCTCTCTGCATCAAGTGTTAAATACAGCTGGAACATAAAGGTAGTGATAGGTCAATGTATTGTAAGTGTATGTATATGTTCTTGAAAGTCTGCTACTTTCATGAATCAGTCAAGTTTATTATGAGCACCTGTGCTATTTTTATAGCCAGAGGTAGGGCTGGGCGATAAATCGATTTTATCAATTAATTCGAATTTGTAGTTAAACACGATTTATTTTTAGTTAAAATCAGTTTTCTCTTGAACTTCCACATCACCGGCGCTCCCTTTGGGCTCCCGTAGGTCAGAGTGCGCTGACCCCTCCCCCGCCTCTCCACAGATAAACACAACACGGCAGCAAGCCAGGATGAGATCGTCCCCAAAAAAGGCACAGTGTCGTCAGTTGTTTGGAACTGGTTTGGTTTTGTGGCGTCCGACAGCGAACAAACCACGACCCACTGCAAAATTTGTTTGAAAGCTGTTGCAACCAAAGGTAGCAGTACAACAAATTTATTCCAGCACCTCAAGCAGAGGCATGCAGCCGAGTGGGAGAAATGTTGCTCTCTGCCAGATATACAGGACCGCAGCCCACAAACACCCGCTTAAAAACAGTCTACAAAAAAATCGATTAAATCGTAAATCGGGTTTGGTGTGAAAAAATTGGAGATTTTATTTTTAAGCCATATCGCCCAGCCCTAGCCAGAGGCATGCAGTGCACCTGGCATTAGGAAGAAGGCATTATTGTATATTTGTAGGTAGGTTAGTTAGGGTTTGGTAATATGGTTCGAGCCAAGAACTTATTTTCTCATTTAGCTTGAAGGGTTAGGGTTTTTATCTACAGGTCCTCTTCTTTGGAGTCATGTTGAACTGGCGTGTTTCTACAGTAGCCCAGAATGGACAAACCAAACACTATGATTTTGTCCAAGACTTGCTGAACTTGTTGACTTTCCTAAAACCACTAAAATATTGCTTTACCTGACCTGTTATTAGAATTAATGCTAATAAATACCTTTTCTAACTAAGAAAGGTCACTCTCTGTGCTTCTATTCAATTCAATTCAATTAAATTTTATTTGTGTAGCGCCAATTCATAACAGAAGTTATCTCAGGACACTTTTCAAATAGAGCAGGTCTAGACCGAACTCTTTAAAACATTATTTACAGAGACCCAACAGTACCACCATGAGAAAGCACTTGGCGACAAGGGCAAGGAAAAACTGCCTGTTAAAAGGCAGAAACCTAGGACAGATCCTCCGGCTCTAGGTGGGTGGTCGTCTGTCTCGACCAGTTGGGGTGAAAGAGAGACAGAGAGAGAGACAGACAGAGAGAGAGAGAGCGAGAGACAGACAAACAGACAGACAGACAGGTGCACAGCAACAACAGTATTGGCAATGGCAATCTAGCAGGACCATGGCAGGAGGCTCCACCAGGATCGACAAGAACCTGCGAGACGAGAAAGCACAAGAACTCCGGGGAAGAAGTGAAGTTAGTAACATGCATTAATGGGAAATGAATGAGTGCAGAAAGAGAGAGGAAGAGAGGAGCTCAGTGCACCATGGGAAATCCCCCGATAGTCTAGGCCCATAGCAGCATAACTAAGGGATGGTTCAGGACTCACCTGATCCAGCCCTAACTATAAGCTTTATCAAAGAGGAATGTCTTAAGCCTACTCTTGAATGTGGTGAGGGTGTCTGCCTCCAGAACCACAACTGGAAGCTGGTTCCACAGGAGAGGAGCTTGGTAACTGAAGGTTCTGGCTCCTGTTCTACTTTTAGAGACTATAGGAACCACAAGTAGCCCAGCATTCAGAGAACGTAGTGTTCTAGTGGGGTAATAGGGTACTATGAGCTTTTTAAGATATGAAGGGGCCTGACCATGAAGAGCTTTATAGGTGAGGAGGAGGATTTTAAATTAAATTCTACATTTTACAGGGAGCCAATGCAGAGTAGCTAGTACAGGAGAGATGTGATCTCTTTTTCTAGTTCCTGTCAGTACTCGTGCTGCAGCGTTCTGAATTAATTGGAGCGTTTTAATGGACTTATTGGGGCAACCTGATAATAAAGAGTTGCAGTAATCCAGCCTAGAAGTAACAAATGCATGGATTAGTTTTTCTGCATCTGTCTGTGATAGGATGTGTCTAATTTTTGTAATATTACGTAAATGAAAGAAGGCAGTCCTAGAGGTCTGCTTTATGTGAGAATTAAATGACAAATCCTGATCAAAGATAACTCCAAGATTCCTGACAGTGGTGCTAGAGGCCAAGTTAATGCCATCTAGAGTAACTATATCTTTAGACAGTGAGTCTCTAAGGTTTTTGGGGCCAAGAACAAGAATTTCGTTTTTTTCTGAGTTTAACATCAGAAAATTGCAGGTCATCCAGGATTTTATGTCCTTAAGACATGTTTGTAATTTAGATAATTGATTACTTCTAAAACCTTTTGCATTAATGCTCCCCCTTTGACTGTTTTTGCCAAATACCTTCTGACCAAAAGCTTATATAAAAAGGTACAGTACAGGTCTGCACTATCAGTGTCTGATTTATTAAGGAAAGCACAAATGCTACATTTCACTGTTTAGAATGTAGCAAATGGCAAATGTTTTTTTTTTTGGTCATGATGCAAAAACACTAAGACAACATTGAAATTGCATTTACTGCATTTTGATAAGTTGCAGTTAAAATGTAGTGAGATTCATGAACTTGTACTTTACCGAGGATCTTTTTCTTTCTTTTAATGTGGCAATCAGTGCCATTAAATCAGTGAACTCTTTTCCGGATTTTACTGCAGTTTACGGGTTTACAGCATGTGCATTGAAAATGGAAACATTCAATATAAAATGTGCATTTTTATTTTATTTTTATTAAACTTAGAGTATGCATTTTTTTTTAAATGTCAAGTATCCCCTGCAGTACTCCAAAGTTCCCCTAGGGGTACCACCATTTGAGAAACCTGAACATGAACAACAACTAATAGTAACAAACTAATACCATATTACAAATTAAATGTGGGCAAAATCAATCAATAAATCCAACACTTACTTTCATCCACTATGTTTCCGTGTAATCTATCGACAACTCAACAAGTTGTGTAACAAAACTTTTGTTTTAAACATTTGAATGACATTCCTATCAGCCTCCGCTCTACCTTGTGTTTAGTGCTCATTAGCTAAAGCTAACATGGTGAACATGGTAAATATGTTCTAAACATCAGCATGCTACCATTGTTACTGTGAGCATGTTGGCTGTAAGTGCATTGCGCAGAAGTACAGTCACAGAGCTGTTAGTGTGGCTGTAGACTCTTAATATTGTTTGTGTGCTTCACCTAAAATATATTAACCAGAAATCATTTGTTTTTTCACAATCATTATTATTAATTCTTTTTCACACCAACAGGAAGAGTGTTTTTATACCATTCCCTTCAGAAAACATCATGATCTGAGATCCGGGTCCTGGCGGTCATGTGATTTAAGAACAGTGTTGTGGATTTGTAGTCAATGGAATGTCTTTACAATTAATTGAGGGTGTAAGGATAGAGGGCGTGCTGTACAGACTGTTAAGCCTCTTTGAGGGAGATTTGTGATTTGTGATATTGGACCATATAAATAAAACTGACTTACAGTGTGTGTGTGTGTGTGTGTGTGTGTGTGTGTGTGTGTGTGTGTGTGTAGGACTACGATCTGAGTCAGCTACAGCAGCCTGACGCCCTGGAGCCAGAGTGTGTCAAGGTGGGGATCAGACGACTGGATGAGAGGCCCCTCCATCATGACCACCAGTACCCCCTCCGCTCTGCCGCCCCCCACCCAGGAGACATAGGAGACTTCATCCACGAGGTACGGCAACACACTGTTTCCGTTGGACAAAAACATCTGGGATCAATGAATCTCAGCGTCTCTTACCAATTTAAATGGGAACATCTTTGTGTAAAACGTCTAAACCAGTGAGTGTGAGCACAGCAGAAGAGGGTGTCCCGTCCTCACTAACCGACATTCAATGTGTTTGCCCAGATTAAATTTTGGTGTCGGGCACAGGCAGTTCTCAGCACACAGGAAGTGATGAATCACAACTTGAGTGAAATACAAACTGTGTGTCGACAGCAGTAAGCTAACAGTGTGTCCAGAAAAAGCTGGATTTGACAACTTTTAGATCTTTTGCTTCTCTCATCTCTTTTCTATCCTTTCGTATAAAGCATCAAAGACTGGCAGGGATGTGTGCAGTTTACCTCATCACCTCACAGGATTTAGGAATATTGAAGTTCAAGCTGTTTTTTTAAACAGTTGCTTTTTGTTGCTATCCAGAGCTGCCAGTAGATGAACTAACCCACTGTAACATTCAAAGACTTTGATTCCTGCCAATTAAAACATAACCCAATACGTATGTTCAAACAATGAAGTACACATGCAGATTTAAAATGTATTTAGCTCTAGGCTCAGTTGTACAGCCTGTTCTCCTAGTATATATAGCTTAGACGAGTGTCAGTGCTGTATCGGTGATATGTGATGATGTGTGGTTGGCAGGAGGATGCACACTAACAGCCAACACTAGTTTGTTTAAGAAAAGGACAGAAAAGTAGAGAAACACAGTACAGTGCAGTGTCTGTGTAATTCTTAATTAGCTTTGCTAATGGTCAGGATTAGCTGGCCTCAGACATGGCCACAGCCTGGCTACATAATTGGAGGTAAATCCATTGAGTTTAGTTAATCCTACAGGCTGGCTGCAGGCCATCCTCACTTCCTTAAAAAGTAACTAAAGCCCTAAACCACTATTTTCACTTGAAAATTAATGTATATTGAGTAGTGTTGTTGATGGAATCACGTATAAATATTCAGTGCAAGTATTTAAACTCTACATATTGTGCTGTGCACAGCACCCCTACTGGCCGGTTGGTACTGCAATTGAATTTCCCTATTGGCTGATCTGGTGGAAGGTGGTGTATATAAACCATCTTGGTCATGAACCAAGAACAAAAATAGTAGGGCTGCCCCTTAATAGTCGACATAACTGTTAGTCAAAGAAGAGTCTTAATCGAGCCACTATTCATTAGTCAGATAGTCGCCGAAAAACAAAAGCAACGTTAAAACCTGTTCTGGAGCTGCACCTTGTCCCTGGGACCAAAGTATCAGGGTATTGTTGCAACATGGACCTTTTCTTTTGTAACACAGGGAGTCACTTACCGGTGCACTGTTGCATATGCTATCTGTACTAGCTGCTGCCACTAGCTAGTTAGCGGCCCTATTAGCTGACCCCATCATTAACTACTGGTCGACTAGGAAAATCTTTAGTTAGGGACAGCCCTAGAAGAAAGGAACCGAGGTTGCCTGTTAACAAACAGGAAAGGAACGCTGGCGTCCAGTGTCAACGTCATGCTTTGTTGACCCCTCAGTTACACATCAACATAGGCTGTATCAGGTATTGAAACAAATGATTGACACTATCAGTTACATTGGGAGGCCGGTCTCGCCAAGAGTATTCAGTCTGTTCATAGAAGGGTTTGCATCAGTGGGCGCCCGGTTAGCTCAGTGGGTAGAGCTGGTGACCCATGTATCGAGGCTGAGTCCTTGCTGCAGCGACCCAGGGTTCAAATCCGACCTGCGGCCCTTTGCTGCGTGTCATCCCCTCTTTCTGCCCCCCTTTCCTGTCTATCTTCAGCTGTCACTATAATAAAGGCAATAAAAGCCCCAAAAGAAATACTTAAAAAAAAAAAAAAAGAGGGTTTGCATCAGTACTTTGGTTGCTGATACGCATTACTAGTAGCAAAAAATCCTAAAATGTGTTGCCACTATCTATTTAAATACTTCCAGTTACAAATACTGTAACATCTGCCAACAGACGTCTGTATGAAAAAAGATAATGAACAGCAAATTAAGCGAAGGAGCTTCAAATGAACTAGTTCGTAAGACATGTGGCCTCACCACATCACAAGGCTTCCTAAGGCGAAGCGGCCACCCTGATCTCTTAACAATTCTTTTGTTTGTCTCTGACGCAGTGAATTGTTGAACAGAGGACAGTCTCTCCTCAAAGAAACTTGGGGTGTTGCACTCAATTTTACACATAAAAGGGGACAGAAGTGGTTGTGTGAAAAATGTTGAAAGCTGGCTTACTTTCACACCTCCGCACACCTGGCCAGTTATTGCGGAATGTGGGCGAGATTGTCGGATTGTCTTTCTGAGAATGTTAAAGAACAGCACCGACTACACCGACTGGTCTTGAACATTATAATGTTTAACTTGTTTAAAACCCACCTGCCTTCCGGTGCCGAGCTTAGGGTTATGCAAGCGTGGTTGGGTTAGGGTTTAGGGGTAGTGGGGGATGTCTAAAACTGTTATATTTCACAAAGAAGAGTGGAAAGCACTATACAGGCAAGCATGAAAGAGTATGAAGCAGGCCAGTCCACACTGCCTGCGTCTCATGACAGAACGTCTTGCCTTTTAATTCGGTGCCCATGTTAACAGGTTAGAGCAGCCACACTGCCCACATGAGCCATGCTTCTATTTTTTCCCAGCTAAAATACAATGAGAATGAACTTTTTCATATAGACATTATACAAGCAACATGCACACTACTACTTCCACTAGAGTTCCAATGCCTATATCTGAACAAGTCACAGGCATGACTCAACACCTCCTGTATCAGTTTAATACTAAAGATTTTTGAGCCTGTGGACACAGTCCATTCATTTGTTAACAAGGCTTTTAACTCTGTGTAGAAAGATGGGGCTGGCAGCAACAGTGCAGCAGCAGAAGTGTCTCTGTGTGCCACCACCGGCGTGCGAGCCACAGCCGTTCAGCGAGGTAACTGTCACACTCTGCTCACATGGGCAGTGTGGACCTACACTCTGTGCAATGTCACTAGCACGCCCACTCGCTTGCTCCAGACAACGACCTGCTCTATTCACACATGGGCTCACTCGGACATTACACAGACTCTGTACTGGGGAGCCGGCAGGCCTTTTAATGTCCCGTGCAACTGATTCAGACATTTGCTCCTGCGGGTTGTAGTGCCTGTGTGAAAGGGACCCAGTACTGCCCCTGTACTTGGGTTCAGCCCCAGTGAGAAGGTGGACATACTGTATTTGAATATATATCACTGGTTTACATCAGCGCTTTCAGAGCTTTAAGCCCTCCTAAAAGTGTTATACTCTCTCAGATGGATTAACGTGACTCTCAGAGTTAATCAGATAGGCTTCTTGAAGAGACTGAACTCTTCCTTTAACACAGCTGATAACTGTCATCACATCCCGAGCACACGGCGCCACGGCAGCGGGGCATCTCGGGCATGAAGAGTCATCATTGTCAATGCAGCCGATGCGCGCTGCTCTCTGGGTGCTTCTGTATTGTTTGTGCGTGCGCAGGTGTGTGTGTGTGTGTGTGTGTGTGTGTGTGTGTGTGTGTGTGTCTTTCGGTCGGGCTGCATAAAGACATCTGCCAAGCAGAGCTATGAATAATGAGTGGGAGCTGTCAGACATGGCAAGCTGATCTAGACAGCTTAATCCGGCAGACATGACAAGCTGATGCTTCTCGGCCTGCCTCTCCCTCTCTCCCTCTCTCTCTGTTAATTCTCTCCTCCCATTGAGCTTTAGAGTGACAGGAGTGTCTTGAGTCAGACGACAGACGTGGCCCACAAAACATTTCCGCAGCTTATCAGATTTACTGCTTTCATTTTAACCATTCTGAACGGCGGTGGGAGGCAAAAACCAGCCATTTTCCAGACTGTTAGTTTAAGCACCCTTTTTGAGATGTTAATTTTAGATGGTACTTGTATTCTTCATAAAAGCCAGTTTGTAGAAAATAAAAATTGCCTACGTGTTAAAAACGTGTGTGTGTGTGTGTGTGTGTGTGTGTGTGTGTGTGCAGGAGGGAAGGGGGTGGTTTTAAGTTCAGACTATGCTGGGTAATCTGCTGAATCTCCTCCTGGAGATAGAGGCAGCATCTGTCCAGCCTGACCCAAATCCTCCTCTCTTCTACGCTCCTCAATAATCCCCCCCCCCACTCCCTACTGTCCATCTCAACCCCACCGCGTGCACACACGCACAAATAAACACATACTTAACACTCCCTCCCTCGTGCTCTGCCTACTTTGATCTCCATGTCCCACTCACTCTGTAGGGGCTGAAGTGGTTTTGGTGGTAGGGTGTGAGGTAGAGGTTAGAGAGGCTGGCTTGTGATTGGAAGGTTTGAGTCCCAGTCCTTTGAGAAAGTGAGCTCCTTTCAGATGGGTCAACGAGGGTCATCAGACGTGGTTTTAGGGGCTTAACATGGGTCTTACACTGCTTTGCTTTAGTATGACAGCATGAACACAGGTTCCCTTAATACCCTTAGTATATACTCTACAGTTGCTATAGAAATATTACAGGATTACTATAATCCCGCACTAGATATCGTCAGAGTCTTGTAACTCTCTCAACCATAAATTCTGCTTTTCTCAGTGTCGGAGATGCTGGCAGTGCAGTTTGGGTTGTCGCACTGTTGTGTGGAAAATCCGGTGCATTGTTCACTTTTAATGAACCAAAAGTTGACAGCTCTGCTTAGCAAACACTTCATACACCATTCCCCGATTTAGAAGCGATGCGTATGGAACTCCGAGGAATAACCTGTGACACAAGCCTGGTATGAATGTGCAGCATATTCTTTATCCCACATCAAACACAGGCTCTGTGTGTGAAGGTGTATCAGTGATATTACTCCTCTGCCTCAGCAGCCGCTGATAAGGTGACATCAAGCAACAAATTGAACCCCCAGCTGATCCAGCTACTCAGTCAGTCATAATGTATGAACTAGGGATAGACTGATTATCCGCCTGGTCCATGATGGTTTTTTGTTGCTCATAAAATAAATAGAAAATGAGGAAAGCCCCCAATAAAAATGTGTACATTATTTACTTCATAAAACTTTGGGAGGCTATATTTATTTCTCTAAATTTCCAGGTAACTTTCTTCACTTTTTTTAAATATAATGTTGAAAAGTTCAATTCTGAAGCATTTAAATATATTCTTAAAGTACCCAGATCTTTTACTCAAAGGTCCAGCATTTAGTATTTAGTTGTGTAGGTGCAGATTGCAGCCCCAGTTCACCCTCCTCTTCCAAGCACAAAGGAGCAACTACAGTGAGCACAAAATGTCCATTCTGGGTTACTGTAGAAACATGCCGGTTCAACATGGCAGACTCTGTAGAAGAGGACCTGCTCCTTCTGTAGATAACGGCTTATTACGAAAACAACCTAAAAAGATTCCCTTTTTTAGGTGATTCTATGCCAATGAAAACATTGAAGAATATTATATTCCATGTCTGACAATAGATCCTCCTCAATGTTAGTTTCTCCTTAAGGCAAGGGTGAAGCGAGGGAGTTGTGATCTGCAATTAAACTGCTAGATGCTGCTAAACCCTACACACTGGACCTACAAAAGTATTAGCATCAAAATATACTTAAAGTATAATTTATACTTTTGGATTATAATCATTAATGCATTATGTGTTCATCACTAATGTTGCAGCTGATTAGGGCAGAGCTCATTTAAATGAATATGTAATAATAAATCAGTTGATTTTTATTGTGTATTAACAATGTGAATCTGCAGATTTAGTTCAAGTACCTTCAAATTGTATTTAAGTACAGTACTTAGTAATGTAAATGTACTTAGTTACACTTACAACTGGTTATTTTCATTTTTACTGCAAATGTGTATCTGTTCCAAATATCTGTTATCAGTCTCCTTGGTTACTAATACTCGGAATCGGCCCTAGTATGAATGAGCAGTCTTCTCTTTGCTTACCTTCCTGTCTCCTCCATATTTATTTCCAGTAAACAAGGTTCATAGGAGAGCGCCAATCTTTATTCAATATTCGCTGCCTGTGTAAATGAATGTACACTCCTCCGCACTCTGGCAGTCTAAATAGTCATTTTATATTCACCATGGAGCTAAGGATGCCCTCTCTGTCACTATTATTTGCGACTGCACCTGTCTTTTCTAACCCTTCTGTCTCCTCCATCTTTCTTTCCAGGGCCTGAAGGCAGCAGACAACGACCCCACCGCCCCCCCTTACGACTCCCTGCTCGTGTTCGACTACGAGGGCAGCGGCTCCACCGCCGGCTCCCTCAGCTCCCTGCACTCCTCCTCGAGCTGTGGAGACCAGGACTACGACTACCTCGGCGACTGGGGGCCGCGCTTCCGCAAGCTGGCCGACCTGTACGGCGGAGGGGACGATTAGCATCCCGAGCCCCCACCGACAAGACCCACCCTCCCCACCCTACCCTTGCTCCAAGGCTCAGGTGTTGGGCGGGGGTTGTAAGGAAAGAGGATGCGGGGTAAACATGGGGTATGGATCGGCACTTCTGTATTACCAACGGGACAGCTTGTAAAGAGACTCGCTGCCCCTTGACGACGGTTGATGACACTAGGGACCATTCTGACTCCTGGCCTAGCAAGGCCTGGCACCGGCTAGCATTCAGGCTAATGGACATTATCATCTGAGCGTTAGCCCCTGTGCTAACAAAATGTGAGCAGCCAGGACAGTGCGCTCAGAGGGGATGTTGTCTCTTTGATGGTTAAGAGCTACGACAGCCATGCTACAGACGCTCATTTACACTTGAATCTCACAGTACAGGAGCACTGGGGTCAAATGTGCCTTTTTGTACATTCTTTTTGATTGTGTTAAGTCTCAATTCTGTACATTGCTTTAAACCTCCCAGTGTTGTTCATTGGCAACTGGAGGAGCACTTCGCCATGATAATGAGTGTGTGTGTGTGTGTGTGTGTTTGGGTTATACGTCATTACCTTGTATGTGTGTGTGAGTGTGTGAGTCATTTCCACAGAGACACACTGGATGGCAAAGCCTGCTCTGAGACGCTTTGGAGGATCCTACCAGCAAAAACACGGTTTTACTGTATAGCTCTGGGTGTTAAAGGTTTTCTCATCTGATTCAGTCAGAGAATGACAACTACAGTCCCGACACATGACGGTGTGTAGATCTCAATCAATCACAGAGGTTAGCAGAGTCAAATATGTATATTTCGGTTTACCTACAGTAACCACACGTCCCAGTTTGTCCCAGTTTTAAGCTAAGTGTCCCAAGTCAGTTTTCACCATAATTAGTATAATAATAATAATGATCATATTATACTTGTTTTTTTGCACTTGCATAGACATTTATAATGTTCTATCCCTCTCCTAACCCAATCTAATACTATAAACAATGCACAATTCAACACTGATTTGTCTCTATGGTGTGCTATGCTAGCTCTTTCTAATAGAACATGTCAGTATGCTAACGGTTAGCTATCATGCTATAGAGAGAGTCTAAAGAGCCCTCGGAGGCTAACTCCTACGTCAAGTACCCGGCAACAAAAATGCTGCGTTCACGACATCCGTGGTTTGGAAAGGTTCGCTCGTTAGGAGTTCTAAGCACTGAAAAAATTGTCCCCTATACTAATGGAAATGCCTATGGTGCATACATGTGCACGTGTGGGACACTTTTAGCAGTGCAATATGTAATTTCTGCCACTAGTGGGCCTCTCACATTAAAACAATAACAAAAGATGAAGTTTGATGGCATTGTGAAGTAGCATGGGATCATGGGAGTTGTTGTCTTCACCACCATTACCGTCATTGTCGTCAGCTTCTCCCGGTTAGGATTCCTTCAGTCTGCCGGGAGCTCAATTATCCACAGAGGTCTCCTCCTCTCCAAAACAAACTGACCTGCTGATTAAAATCACTAAAAACACTGAATAAAGCAGTTCCACCTTAAAAATCCCTGTTTCTCCCACGCTGGACAGACAAAGGACGTCCCGGAGGGGCTGCGAGCCGAGCTGCTGCAAACGTTAAAATCCTTCATCCGGTTCAAATCTAGAGTTAAAAAGCACCAAGATCTAAACAGTGGATGGTAACAATGTGGCTTCAGACTGGATCAACAGTCAATGTATGACAGCTTCTGGCAGACAACCACAACGCTGACGCAGGCACAAAGGGGATATGACGCCATCGACAGGCGCAGCGTTACCTGAATAAAATGACACTGATCTCTCTAAGGTTTGAAAATATGGTTCACCCTAAGCACCAGAAGCTCACTCACATCTGTGGTTATTACGTATATAAGGCAGTGGAACATATTTCCTTGTGATACAACAGACACTTGTTACATGGTTTCTGTGTTTCCCAAGTGTTTGTCTACTTGCATAAACAGCAGGCTCATTTCACCACACTGCTCTGGCATTAATATGACTGACTGCCCACGTTAACAAAGCTGCCCGAGATCAGAAGTTTAATTTCCTCTCTGCTCTCCCACCCTGCAAACTCTGATCATTCAACATCACATCACGTCAAAGCTTTGATTGAATTGCTATAAAGAATTGCTGCCTCCCCTGGCTTTTCAACACCGTTAGATAGTCGAGGACATTTAGTTGCACAATGAATTTAAATAACTTCTTTTTCTGAAGGTTTTTACAAGCAGAAAATGTTATTTGTTGTGCTGTATAAATATTGTGGTTATGTCCTTGCTGCACTTTCAGAAATGGGAACTTTAAATGGGATGTAGTTTAGCTTATTTGCAGGATGACAAAATGCAGACGCAAAGACACAAAATATAATTTCCATGTATGTGTTTGTGCAGATGAAAGAAAACTGAAAGCAAAAACAGCAACAAGGAATTAAGGCCAGAAATCAAAAAACATCTGAAACACTTTAGGTTACGGAGCAACAGTACGATCTATGAAATGAAATAAAATATGTCCATCATGAAGGCAATTCATTGAGTAATGAAATATGTAATGAATATGACAGAGTGGATATTTGTCCGGTGTACGTAGAGCACACACGTTCTGGATGGACTCCGTATTTACAGATGAATATGAACAGCTTGTGAACGGAATATAAAGCGAGGGGTAACTAATATTCAGGTCGGTTGCTTAAACTGACCAATCCATCACCCCTCCTTTGTTGTGTCTGGGTCTGCAGCAGAATATGAAACAGAGGCACAACAGCCATTTAACCAAACCACTATCTTTACTCCTGCTGATGCATCTTCCTAACAGTTAGGGGTGGCATACATGAATTTTAGGAATTAAGCTGATGTTACGTCACTAATTTTGCTTATTGCAGTGGAACAGTTGCATATGTTGCAGCTTTTCTCTATTGCTTTTTTTTTTGAGCCATCTGGAGATATTTTTGCCATGGCAGGAGAAAAATCCAATAGTTTGTTCTAGAGCGAGTTCTTTTGACAACTTCGGGCCATTTCATGACACATTTTAATGGATATTTGAGGTCCCTGCAGGGTAAACCTGAAGATGAAAAGTTCCACTTTTACATAAAAAAATTAACATTACATTATTTTAAATCTAGGTATACTGAATGTACAGTACACAGCATCTGAAGTTACACAAATTTTTAAATACCAGTTAAAGTGGGTTGCTATAGCAATACACAAAAATGGCACAGTGTAAGGTAACAGGAATCGCACAGCCATAAGCTTTATATCTGAGCCAGAGGGGTTTTCAACGACTAGAACTGAAAATATCAGATCTAAACCCTGTCGTCCCTAACAATAAAACCAAAGGGGAAAATCTCTTTGTATTGAACTCTGATAGACTCAGTATACCTGACAGGAATAGACCGGCTTTATACAGGCTGAAACAAAACACTAATATCTATAAACAGATACGTGTATATGAATACAGAATCACCTGAAACCTATCACCAATTACTTATCTTATCTACAGAGGGATCAGGTTTAACCATGTTGAACCCCCAGTGTTTCTACAGTAGCCCTGAATGGACAAACCAAACACTGGCTCTATTAAGGGGCTTTTGCGTTTTTTCCACAGGTTTTGCAGCCACCGTAGTTTCTCCTAACTGCTTGGATGGAGAGAGGTATTCAAATGGTTGCCATCTGCCACGTCACTGCTAGATGTCACTTAATCCTACACACCTCTCCTTAAAGGCTTATATACAATATCAGTGTTACTTAGTAGTAAGGCTGTATCAGTGATTGTGGGAGGTTTCTGTTAGTGGGAGGCAGACGTTGGTTAAACCCAGAGCTGTACAAAAGAGCCGCATATTTTTGCTGGTTTGGTGTTCCAAAGCTAGTAAGAAGACATGTACAGTAATGCTAGACTTTAGATAGATACCTTCTGTTTATTTGTTTTGCTTTTATCACAATGTAACTTATGCAGCTGATTGCTAATAAAGGGAGACACCAGTCCTTGTTTTGTAGCAAAGATACTTCTTGATACTCTGCTGTGGTGGATTAAATACAAAAAAGGCAATGTTTCTTCTGTCTGCTGATGATTTGCCTTAGTGTTCTCTGGTACTCTTCAACTGGCTACTCACTGTAAACTGAAATATGTACAGATTGTTTTTTTTTCTCTTGTTGTTCTTTTGGCTGTGGTCTCTGAAAATGACATGCTAATATCCTGAATCCTTGTATATGTGTAATTTGGATTACAAATTAAAACGTTTTTGCATGTTTTTATCTTTTCATTATGGGAAAACCGTATTTTTCAGATCTCTCGCCAACACCAATCACACACACACTCATTTGGCTCAGTAGGGCGAATTCTAAAGCAGCATTATTAAATTTTTTGGCCACCTGAGGGCAGCAGCTATAAACTATATAATAACTATATTAAAATTGACATATTACAACATAATAAAGCCATTATGGCTAACATGTTAGCAAACAGTTGTTTGATTTACTCATCACAGAGCAACATTATCGCTTATTTAGAGTTGTGTCCACTTAAAGAACTTGTTTAGCTGTATTTTTGGTTTCTTCCAACTCCTGATGGAATTATCTGCCTCTTTAGCTGCTCATAAATGCTCCAATATATTTACTAGCTAGTCTCTAACTGTGTCTGTCAGCTGTTTGGTGCTGAGCAGGTCGAGTACAGTGGATTTATCTGAACTTTTTCACTGAAAACAGCTGCCTGCTGCAGCTGGAAACCAGGTTGGGGAGAGTGATGACACTGAGTCAGAACAGTAGTTGCAGGACAGGAAGACAAGTTTGATATTGCTGCAGGAAACTAGAGTAAATGCAGAAAAATACACTACTATTTAAGTTGGTGATATGTTAAAGGAAAGATAATGTGTATATCTATCTGTAGATTACAGACTTGATCTCTGACAGATTTTACTTTTATTTTTATATGATTTCTATATGACTTACATATACATACCTACATTTCCAGGCTATCTAGATCGACATTCGACATGCAGATCACTTTAGGACCTTGACCTGTCACTCTGGAATCTGATATGAGCCACATTCAAAAAGTAATGTGTACAGCCAAATAGAAAATATCAGGTCTGAGCAATAAATCAAATTGAGCGTTAGGCTTGCAGTGTGAACATAGCCTATATGACCTACATAAAGACAAACAGAGAGAAGATTCTATATAGGTATTCTTAATGCCTGTCACTGGGTCAGATTCCCTTTGAAAATAAGGAGGTAGAAACACTACTGCTTTTGTCTAGAGGGGCTGCCAGAATCATTACAAAATGAAAGTTCCTATAGTGGCTTTAATATAACAATAATAATAACTGCTTAATAACCTAAATTGCCATGTCAAAGTGCATTTATAACATTTTTTTTCCCAGCTGCAAATGAGTAACACTCATGAAGAGTGAACTGATGTTGGTGTATAATCTTTAAAAATGCAGATTCACACTAATCCTTTCTGGAAAGCTGTTGGGAGCATTGATTTTCACTCAGGGATCAATACATGTGGTCATCACATAGAGGTCAGATCACTCACTGTACGATATTATTTTGGTGTTGAAATGACTCAGGAGTATTTGGATCTGCCTGCTCTTCATCCATTTCAGGTGGTTTGTACTCAGATCAAAGTCATTTTTAGAATTCAGTCTGCTCAACTCTGTATATTATATAATTTATAAGCACAGCCTCCAGCAGGCATTCAAATATAAATGAGCGGGAAGTATCTGATGTACAGGCCAGAGACCTTCAGTCAACTGACACAACTTTGATTACCTTATTGTAGCATTTATTGTTTACAGTGAGCTAAGGCTGTGTATTGGCAAGAATCTGGCAACAATAATACATATATACAATATATATAAAGAACACACCACCAAATCCATAAAAAAGAGTTAAAAAACTTTTTTATGCAACCATAAAAGTGGGATCTGCATTTGTATTTATCAGTCCTTGTAACAGCCAACACCATAGCTCTCAGTTTACATTTACAACACTGCTATTTAGCGTAGATATTTTCTTAAACCCTATTCATACACAATTCAGGGACAATGCATTTAATATGGATATAATGTGTGCAATTTGATTCAATACAATCTGCTACAGTTCTTAACATTTGTTTAATGTAAACATTTATTTTACATTCTAAATTAAAATTGTGTAACATGGATTACATTCAAACACATATTTTATAAAATACCAAAGAATCCCAAGTATTTATTTCTTTATGGGAAAAACATGGAAGACAAATGTTGTGAAATATAAATCTTAATCTGTTTATACTCATTGACAAAGGTTCTTCTTTAGGAAAATCAACTAGTCAACATGATGATGACAGAGTACGCTGTGGTGCATGGAAACAATATCTTCTGCAGTGCTGAAAACTCCTTCTGATGCCACACTGGTGGCGGGTATACAGAGGGATTACAACATTGGTATGTCCACCTGTGCTTTCCAACACTGTAGTGGGTTATCATTGAGGGGCAAAGGATTCTGTTCTTTGTCCGTTATGACTTCCTCACCGGCCTTCTCCCTTGAAGATCTTCCTGCTACTCTCACTTCGAAGGTCTCTCTGAACAGAGAGAGCTGGTCCAGTGCTGCACTTTTTTTCTTTGTTGCGGTCATCATCTGAAATACAAAACAATTTCTGTATATGACTGGTTGTTTGCTCTGGACACTCTTGAGCTTTTCTTTCACCTTACTATAATGTTTACCGGTTCTCCAAGTCACTGTTAAACACCTTCTCCATCTCAGTAAGGAGTGCAGTGTCAACTGATGGCCCAAAGTCCTTTTAATGTTTTGCTATGAGGGGGGCAATCACTGAAATTGTGGGCTGCTAGTCCTCACACCCTGCTCCTCTGGCTGGATGTCGAGGTGTCCTTGAGCAAGATACTGAACCCCAAACTGCTCCCGATGCATGGGTGAATGTGACATGTAATATAAAAGCACTTTGAGTGGTTGGAAAGACTACAAAGGCGCTATACAAGTACAGTCCATTTACTATTTACCATACTTGTCCCAACTCGGACAGGTGCCATCACCCTGACGATGTTCTTCAGCGGTGCAGATGTAATTCTCATTAAGAGTGTTCACCTCCTCTCCTTTTCTGAGCCCCAAGGGGAGCCTTGTGTTGCGATGCAAAAGCCCAACAACCTTTCTCACTCTTCCCTGCAACTTTGCAGCAGTGTTCACTTGAAAAGCTTTCTGTGAAGCCAGATTTAATGTGTGAGCAAAGCATCCAAGATGAGGGGCCATCTCTGCTCTGTTTCTGGCATCAGTCACCAGGGCTGTTTCTGTACCAGCAATGTTCCAGTCAACACATGCTCCATTCAATAAAACACCCATATTCTTTCCAGTGTGTGATTCATTGAATACTCTTGTCTGTAAGACAGGACTCTTTAATTCCCAGTCTGGAGAGATGTGATGGTCACATAGTTGAACATGACGGCCAGGCATCAGTTGTTATTGCTACTTGCTCTGCACCTGCTAGTTCTTGTTTAACTTTGTGCTTTACTTTAATATACAGCACAGGCAGCCATTTGTTGGTGAAATGCTGCTCTTCTACCCCTACTGTATTTATCATAAAAGCCATCATCCTCAACTACACTGTAAGGTCCTGAGCAATTAAACGGGCTATAGATGCCATGATAACCTTAGACCTCACCCAGTTGGAGCTAAGTAATATCTTGCGTGTTCTTCTTGCGTGTTCTTGCTTGTGCTAACTGTATTAGCTTCCACAGACTCCTTGTCGCCTGCATAGGTCACCATGCCATCTCATCAGATGAGTGTTAAGATTTGTCGGTCTGCCACTGTACTTGTCCGACAGATCTTACAAGTAGCTAGACTTTTTTCCAACTTTCCTTAATTTTTGTAGAATCCAAATGTCTTCCAAACTTAAAATTTTAGATTTGATGGCGCACTGATAATCAGATGGGCGTTCTCGGTTTGTGTATGGACCAACCTCGCAAGCCACACTTGTTGCGAGACCCTCGACTTAACCAAGTGTGAACCTATCATGACGTCACTCATTGGTTTGTGGAGTATTGTTTTGAAGCCTTGAGTTTGGCGTTATGGTCATCGCCAAGACAGTTTGTTGGAGTCAGCAGAGGTGACGTACTGCGAGTTGAGCTGCTCTCATTGGCTGCACAGTAAAGATACGAAGCAGAAATTGGTACATGAATCAGTTGATGGTCTGATTCTTAAGTTATGAATCAGTTGATTGAAGCTTTGCTACTAACAGCGTCTCCACTCTCGTGAAGGGTAACAGGCCAACGCCATTGACAGTATATATAATGGACACAGCAGCAATAAAATTGGCTGCAATAAAAACTGATACTATGTAGTCTTATGGAGAAATTACTCTACTTCAGACTTGATTTATGAGCTTAGTAAACAGTTTGCTAATGAGTTTATGGTCTTAGTCTCTAGTTTCAGTCTTCTTCCATACAGCATGATGTTCATTTAGTAAATTATGGTCCCATTTAGAGTAAAATAGACAATAAAGCATACATTTTCAACTCATCTGTACCCGGAAACAATGGCGGCTCGCCTGGTCACACACAATCTTGTATTCCTCTTAACTGTACACTAAAATATGTTTGTGAAAAGATTTGAGGAGAGAAATAGTCAACGCAGTAACATAATCTGGATTCATATTTGATCAGCACTGGCTAGTTTGACAGTTTGATCTGAGTTTTGTGTGTTGAGCTGGAAGGATTCCCTGAGAATGACCTGTCAATCACAAGGTAGCCATGCCCTAAAGCATACCCTGCTTTATTGTGTATTTTACTCTAAATGGGACCATAAATGTATATTTATGACAGTCCTGCACCACAATATTTACAGCAATTATCAGTCTTTAACCTGGCAGAAAATGACGTATAACCTTAGAAAGGTGATGATTATATATATAATACTAAATACTAACTATAAGGAATTATACAAGGTAAGATAAGTTACCTTAGTAGGGGATATTCAAATTTGGCAAAGCAGCACAGGGGAAATGTGGTGCAAGAGTAGAGAAAGAATAAAATACAATAAAATATAATAAAAATATCTATAAAAAATATATACAGAATATACAATAAAATGGAAACCTGAGGCAGATAAACAGCCCTCTGAAAATAAACATGTGTGTCACACCTTCAGCATGGAAAAATAAGGGACACCTTGGCAGTGGCCTCATGCCTGGGGGACACTAATCACAAATCATCCATGGAGCAAAGCCTGCGTCGTTAGTTCAGGCAGTCAACTC